GATAGAGCTTCTGTAAATAACATTTTAAATTAATTCACCGATACGGTTCGTCAGGTAGCTGACCCATCTGTGTCAAATCGACGCGATGTATATTTTGTTGACTGATTTATCTTAAGTTATTTTTACGGCAATACTAAACGACAGAATCGTTAAATATTGTAATGAGAATAATATCAGATGCTCAGTTTCAATTCAGAAAAAGACTATTCGACAACTGATGCCTTGTTTATTTTGCATAATTTGGTTAAAAAATATCTAAATGAAAATAAAAGATTATATTGTGTTAATGGCATATGATTTTATATACAGAAATGCATTATGGCTTAAATTGTATAAGCATGGGGTTAACTGTAATTTTTTTGAGAATAATTAAGGACATGTATGAAAAGTAAAATCATGTGTTCGGTCGTGTAATTCTTACTCTGAGTTTTTCAAATATGATGTTGGTTTAAGACAAGGGGAGGTAATTTCACAATTATTATTTTTACTATTTGTTGAAGACTTAGAGTTATTTTTGCATAAGATATAAATTCAGGTGTAAATATTGATGATACTTTTCTTATTCTATTTTTGTTTGCAGATGATACGGTTATTCTTGGGAAGACTCCAAACGAAATTAACACTAGTCTTATATTACTTTCTGAGTATTGCAAGCTATGGAGTCTTGAAGTCAATGTACAAAATCCAAAGTTATGGTATTTCGCAAACGTGGGGGTCTTAGAAATAATGAGACTTTTGTGTATAATGGGACAATTTTGGAAGTTGTAAATGATTTTAACTATCTAGGAAATGTTGTTAAATATACAGAAACTTTGGCATTAAATTAAAAATTGGTCGATAAAGCTTTGAAATCAATGAATGTTTTATTAGGTAAATCTCAAAAATATAAAATGAAACCTAAAATTCTTTGTCAACTTTTTTATTCTCTTGTCGGATCAGTACTAGATTATTCAAGTGAAATATGGGGGTTTACAAAATCAAAAGAAATCGAAAGAATTCACTTTAAATTTTGTAAAAAAAAATCTGGAAACAAAGTGATCCCTCGGAAGCATTTAATCACAACAAAATTACAAGAGAATAGCAGACTCGGCTGTAAAAGTCGCCCCGTACATTCAATCAGATGTTATATGTCCGATCCTTAAAGATCGTCCAGTACGACATTATTGTTGTGCTTGTAGTAATTAAGTTCTTTCTTATCGGCTGTTTTCTTGTTGGGTGGTTCCAGTATTCCTCACTTGAAAACTGTTGAATCTCCCTTAGGATAAGTGGCATGCTTTTTAAATTTGTCTTTTGACGTCTTATCTCTGATATGCAGGCTTCATAACCTCTGACCCCTTACAAAATTCCATCTTATTTAGTTCCGCCCATTGTTTTCTCGTTTAGGGCACACGCATTTTTAAATGGGTACCATATGTCGCTTTTCATGGGATGGCACTTACTTGTCACATTGAAGGTTCCATGATAACCGCCATTTGCCATCTGCGGATGTTTAAAAATTCAAAATTGTACCAATTCATGTTAAATTCTGCTTAAGTCGGTGCTAGGGGCGTGGACGGTTTTGCACTCGACAGTACCGTCCATAAACAGGCTCAATCAAACCGAGTCTGCAACATTTGCAATTAAGCCGTGTTGGGCCTTCTTTAGGGATTCTTATTTTCTCTTTTTAATTGAGTCTGTACATGAGGGATAATGAATACGTGCAACATCCCTCACGCCCCCTAGCACCGGCTTGAGCGGTACTCAATTCTCAACACTTAATAGTGCTGGCATCAATGATCCCGAAGGACCTGAAAAATATAACAACACTGAAGTGAAGTACGGGGCAACTTTTTACAGCTGCCACACAGCACTTGACACTTGCTGTTGTGAAGTATAAAAATTTGGGAACAAAGTGATCCCTCTGAAGCACTAATCTTTATGTTAAAATGTCTACTCCTAATGTTGCAGTTTATGGTGAATTGGGATGATATCTTTTGTATATTTCGAGAAATATCAAAATACTAAGTAAAATTTTGGTTCAAACTTAACAGTGCAGATAATATGATTTTGAAAACTGTATATTACATGTCATATAATGATTGCATAAATGGTAAAAAGAATTGGATCTCAAATGTAAATCAAAGTGCTGCAGCACTGAATGCGACGGACATGCAACCGGAGAGACATTAAGGCTTCTTTTAGAAAAAACAAAACAAAAACAAAACACAAAATATATAACAGAGAAAATTCGTTCCATACAAGTTCGAGATTTGTAGAGCAATATATTTTGTGTCCCAAACTGATATAATTCAGATTTTTTACTTTCAAGCACTTAAATACAGAATGAAATTTATGCCTAAAAACTCTGGTCAAACTTGTAAATCAGTGTCCTTATCGATTTATTCCAAGAAATGATATGTAAATAGAAAAAAACTGTCAACGAAATATTTCTAAAATAAAACCAGGCAAATAAACATAAATTAATACATTATACATTTGAGAATGCTATTTAGAATTGCTTCGTGTTATATCATAGTGGGCATATAGACAATAAAATATAAGTCATTTGTATTTTTTTTATGTCTCATTAAAAAAAATTTTGGTTAAAATCATCAGCAATTAATAGTGTATTTTTTAGATTTTTTTTATTTACAAGGTAAAGATGAAGAGGCCAGAGCACATCGTTTTTATTTTAATTTAAATGTCACTTAAGCACTACAGTGTTTAGTTGTCCTTTTCAATTTCACACTAATTTTATTCCATTTTCAACTTGTTTGCTTCTTACAATTGTATAGAATTTCTAAAAGTGTTGGTTTATTACATGTATAATGTGTACTCCCTAATCGCCTGTCCAAAAATCAGAACAGGTGAAGCAGAATCTATTTTTAGAATAGCGAAGGTTAACTCATATCATGACCTAGAAAAATATGTAAACAAACCACAAGAATCGGAAGTAGAACTGATATTATAACTTCCTTACCATGAAAGACTACATGGCGGTCAAGTGTTGAAAAACTCTCTTCTTACATGCTTTTTCAAAAATAAATATTTATACTAACCATTGTACTGTATCTAAGATATTAATAACTGCTGAATATTCAGCTAAACCCGCGGTATGAGTCATGAAAATAGTTCTTCTTTTATTAATGCGCGAGTTATCCTAGAGTCACGAAAAACTTTTGATTAACTTTCGATTTGTTAATAATAATGATTTGTATAATGAAGAAATATTTATTTCCTACTAATAATGTCTTGGAACTCAGAGGTTACACCTTTATTGTAGTATAATTTGCTGTCCTACTTTTTCGACAACGGTAAATCGTTTCGGCAGTAATTTGCATATTGCGCAATAATACTACGGGACTACAACGTTTTTATCAATAATATACGTTCATATTTTAACTTGGATAACTTAATTTGAAATTGAAAAGGCTAAATATGGAAAATTTTAAGATATCCAGACAAAGTATGGGAGTTTTGAAGGATCAAATTCATGTACTATTTCTTGGGCTGTTAATCGGTTTAGGACACACTGCGCGATTGTAGCCAACGAATTCCCATGTAGATGACTTAGCTCTGAACGCGCCTGAGGGCGCGTCCGTCGCAAAAAGTAATTGTGTGAAAATGGATATAATTATGTTTTTGATAATCCTCATTCTGTTAAAGAAACCCCGTTTTTAAGTATTTTTAAACAGCAGTAAAAAGATTGTTTCTTGCAAGGTTGGCATAGTAATAAGTCAGGTAGAAAAATGTTAGACATTTGTCACCATCTTAAAAAAATTGAATATGAAAGGTATCTTAATCTATTACCTTTTGATTTAAGAACATAATTATTAAATAAAACTAAGTGTCATCTCATTCATTACGTGTACAAACAAATAGGTATGAAATTAAAAGATTACCCAGAAATGAAGGAGTATGTCTTTTCTGTGATACAAGCGACATCGATGACGAATTTCACTTTATATTTTAATGTCCCTGTTTTAATGATATCCAAAGGTTATATATTGATCGATACAATTATATCAGACCAAACATGAATAAACTTATCGAATTGTTAAATTGCAGGGAAAAAGATATTCTTGTTATTCAGTAAGATTGCTTTTAATCGTTGAAATAAACAAATGAGTCAAGATAAATAATCATAATCATCCTCTTAATAACTCATTGGTTAATATAACATTTGTTTTGTTTAATATTTGTATGACTATAATTGTGTTGTGTAAATATGTTATTTATGTGCACGATGTACATGTTGTACAAGTGAAATAAATGTTACGTTCTGTTCTGTTCTGTTTATTTGCAAGGCAACTTCAAAGCTTTAATTTGGTCAGGATATTCCGATGCATTTCGGTGTTTTATCTTAATACGAATTGGTTCCTTGGGATAACCAAAATTAAAGAGGTCTTTATTGTATCCGATGTTTGTTGTTGTTGCACTGTGTTAATCACAAAAAATGATTCATAGACTTCATGTAAGAAAACATCATAACTTTCCTTTTTATATGAAACCATAAAACTGGTTTTGTTATAGACCGCACTTAAAACACTTATAAGCACGAAATAATTTGTTCCTCATGTTGGTCACAACATTGTAAAAGTGAGTATTAAACGTGTAAGTAATACCAATATTAAATCCAATTTAGCAAGCAACTTTCGGTTAATAGTGGGTTTGTGTTTGTAAATGTTCACTAGAAATGTTTTTTCCTTTGATCGCTTTTCTATTGCAAAAAGCGAACAGGTCTGAAATAGATATATTATCACCATATATAAAAATTATTGTTACTCATAATCTTAATAATCTAATTAGAGTATACAAGAAAATGAAAGGATTTTGGCCTAAAATGTAAAATTATTACATAGATAAACTGAAGCACTAAAACAGACGAATATGCAAAAAAAAAAAATAATAAAGAAATATACTCGTAATTGAATTGAAAATCGATTATTTGAAGAAATGCGCGATTCTTATAACCATTTGAGTTAAAGGGTTTTAGACGCTTTTCAGCTTGGGGTATTGTGTAAAATCAAAATTTTTATTTTGTAAAAACGGATTGAGCGAACGATGAAAAATGCAGACCTACATCAGATGGTAACCCTAATTTCAAATGCATATTTACAGTCACGTCATGTCAAAAGTGTTAGTGGAATCAGCTTATATTCAAAGCTCAAAATAAAGATACACTTTTCCAGGATTGTTTCAGATATTACTAAATAAAGTTCCTTTATAGCTTCAGTAATGGTTTGGTAATTTTTCTCTTATATATTCAACAGTATCTATTCCACGTATCATATCAGCAGCTTTTTCAGCAACCATTACCACTGGGGCATTTATATTTCCCGATGTCACTGTTGGAAATACGGATGCATCAACAACTCGCAATCCTTTTATACCCTTTACTCGAAGTTTTGAGTCTACAACAGCAGTTTCATCTTCATCAGCACCCATTTTGCACGTGGATGAATGATGATATACCGTAATCGCTAGGTGGCGCACGAAACATTCCCAGTAGTCATCGGAGCGGAACTTGTGTTGTGAACAAAATGACAACTTCATTTGATTCATGTCAACACCAAGTTCTTCCATGGTTGTTGTCTGCATAAACCATTCCCATAATCGTATACCTCCTATAAAATTTTCAACATCTCTTTTGTCCGTGAGATACTGAGGATCTATCAGGGGGTAGTCGAACGGATCCGAACTTTTCAGACGTATAGTTCCTCGACTCTTTGGATTTGTTATAGAACCAATAAAGTTAAAACCTTCAATGTTACCATGTTCTGCAAATAACTCCTTAGCAAAGCTGTTTTTAATATTAAAGTCATTTTCAACCATGAATTTACTGTATATTATTATTTGAACTCCTGCACTTGTTTTACCGCATTTTGACTGGTCGTTGTAAAAGAACACCGACCCTTCAGATCCTGGTATTGAAAGAGGTCCTGTCCCTAATAGGTTATAACTAAATCGAGTCCAGAAACTGTTTATGAGGTCATCAGACAAGCTAATTGGTTTATTTATCTTAGTTAACAAAAACGCCATTAGGTGATGCTGCATGTTATTTCCAACTGGAAGGTCAAGTAATACTGGAATATCCATAGACTTTAGATGTTCCTTTGGCCCTACACCAGATAGCATCAAGATCTGTGGCGAATTGATAGCACCAGCCGACAAAATCACTTCCTTTTTTGCTCTGACGTATGACTTTCTACCATTTCTAATGTAAAATACACCATCAGCTGCATTATTCTTGATATTAACTTTTGTGACAAATGTTTCTATAACATCAAGATTTGATCTTTTACCGATTCGTCCGAGGAATGCTAATCCAGTAGCTTCACGAATGCCGTTTCTGACGTTTAATTGAATTTTGTGGAACCCTTCTTGGTCAGCACCGTTATAGTCCGTAATATTGAAAACCAGTTCTTGTCCAGCTTTCATGTACAGGTCTGAGAGTTCTGTTATACGTGAACCTGAAACTGCCAATGGACCACCAGAATGATGGTACACGGATGATTTTAATTCGTCTATTTGAATGTCTTCTGATTTCAAAAAGTACGGCAGAACGTCTTTGTAACTCCATCCAGTACAGCCGTTTGCAGCCCATTGGTGATAGTCATAACGGCTGCCACGTGTTTATTGCATACCATTTAAAACACTCGATCCACCAAGAACGCGTCCGCAAGGAAAAAAAGCTCCTGTTATTGTTAAGTCCTAGGCATGAGACTATTTGAGGCATGGTGTAATGTTCCCAAGCATGTTCTCTACTTTGAAGATTTAGAATGCTAATCGGAATGTGAAAGTCTGGATTTTCATCATAGAAACCGCCTGCTTCTATTAAAAGAACGCGAATATTCCTATCTTCGGAGAGTCTCGAAGCCAAAACGGAACCTGCTGACCCACCGCCGACAATCACATACTCGTATTCGTCATCGATCCTATCCGATAATATCTTCCTGTGATGATTGTAGATATTAACTCTAGAGAAGCTATTGTAGTAGTAGTACATTATAGCGATACAAAGTACGATACTTGCCTGGGTTATTGCCATCATTACTTATCGGTATGTTATTCTGAAATGAGCATTGGAAACATTTTAACTGAAATCATCGACAATATTCTTTTAAATAAGGATGGTTCATTTCAAATCCTTACTCGCAAAAATTCTGTCGAATTTCATTATTATTTTTTTTGGCGATGGCGTACGCAGCTGCATATCCTATTTTAGCCTCGTCCAGTATGGCTCGACAGCTATGTACTCGTACGATAACATCATTGATTTACTTTCGCATGTCTATTTTATCATCTCGTGGTTATGCATTGATAGTATCATTCAAATGTAGTCTTTTTTCCCAAATTTAACATTTTACTTACCTTGTCAAGATATAAAAAGATTGTTGACTATAATCGACACCAAAGTTCCCCCTTGTTACGTTTTTAAATTTGTAGATATGAAGTTCATCATATATGCGTGAGGGTATACGTGTGCATGCATTTTCATATATTTTTTATGTATTATTTATTCATGTATTATAACAGATTATAATTTGCTACATTCCGCGACCATAATTATTTGACCCAACCACAACGAAAATATGTATAAAATATGTGCATTTTCCGATGCAACTACTTTCAATATGATACATACACATTTCAGTTTGGCATCACCTATATTTCTGTTAAACAAGGCAATCCTTATCGTCTGGTATATGGTGTTGACAGCTATGGCAACGTTTGTAATCAGAAAAATGATAAAATAGATGGCGTTTTCTATTCTGGACAAGATAACACGAACAAACCGTAAGTAATTATTTATAAGAGAGAGTATGTGTGTTATAATTTCTGATGATCGTTCATCGTTAAAGCATTATGCATTTCTTGATGTCAATTTTGTGGTTAAAAGAATACAATGATTCTTTTCGCATATTTTTACAGCCTTATACAGGTTGTTTCCCCTTGCCCTATAGCCAAAAAATGCTATATAGTTTTCCCTTAAATGGACTCATTTAAAAAAGAAAAAATCTTAAATGCAATAACAAAAGTTAAATTATCATTTTAACAGCTCAAAATTAGAAAACAAAACAAAAATATCTTGAAAATTTGATTTAATGTATGACTATATTGTCAATTGTTGGTGTTTGATTTCAGTCCTTTTTTGTTTACTGCGTTTTACTTCCGCTTTCAGAAAGAAAGCATTAAAAAATCACTGATTTCCATTGGATATCTCCGTGTTTTAAACATTGTAGCATTTCTTTGTGATAACTTACATGGTTAAAATAGTACATGTATACCATTTACACTAAGTCGAAGATCACTAAATTTAAAGGGGTTTATTTATAAAAGCGGACACTTGAATATGACATTGCATATAATAACATTTTTCTACATGCTTATTTTTTACATCACTGCATTATTATACGGAATACTATAAATACTTTCTGTAATCATGGTAAGGGACTTATGTTGGTCAAATTATTCTTAGTTTATAATTAAATAAATGTTTTAAATTAAATATTAAACATTATATTTTCTTCTCAATGAAAGTTGACGCTAAGTGCGAGCTATTTCGATGTTACTTGGGAAGTTGTGATGTAAACTCGAGTTCAACCGTTTATCAGTTGCAAAACTTTTATGACTGGTTCCTAAACTTATGCCACACATATAGAAAATCGTGCGTAAAATGTGACAAACGAACTCTGACAGTTCATGAATTTCAAGTGAAACATTCTCATAGTTATATTCACTTTCTGCTTTCAGTAAAGTATTCTTCTTCGACCCGACATATTTCATATCGATGTTGCCCAACAACCCATTTCCCTCTTTAACTGAAGATGACACGGAAATTATCTGTATAGAAAAGTGTCCACCTACTAAAACGGAAGTCATTGATTTCTTCACGAATGAGGGTGTGAATCTTTGTCATTATAATGTAGCACCGTACGTGGATGATATCAAACAATGTCCGGCTACCCCAGTGCAAAAACAGTACGTACAAAAATTTAAAAATATGGTATTATTTGTTTTGAAAGAGAAGTAAAGCATATTAATCTCATGAATATTTATATCAAATATAAAGTTGAGCTTTGTGTTCATATATGCAAATTACAGAAAAATTTCTACCAAATAGTTTTTTTTCTGTCTGCGAATTTGATTGGCTTTTTAGTCTGAGTCACCTTTAAACAGTAGCTGCACAATGAAGCAGATTCCTTTTAATAGCATGAAATAATATAAGCACTTATGTTATTACTACTTTCAAAGCAAGGTTGTTTTAAAATTCACGTTCAGCTTTTAATCATACATATTACATTTTTTTATTCTTTATTATGTGTTATATATTTTGACTTTCAGTGAGAGTATCTTCAATCGATGTATCCCAGAAGATATCGTAAAGTATGCTAAAGACATAGCGTCATCGTTTGCTTCTGTTCTTAGTAACAGTTACATGGGCAGTAATACGCCACAGGTAATGTTAACATCCCAAAACACACAAGAATAACTTATTGACTCACTTCTTTCATATTGTATTTATTTTCGTTCAGTACAATTTATTTGATTTGACACATCATTTCGTCTGCTTGGTGCGAAAGGGTTGTATATCCATCTTTATGTCATATGGGTTACAATCCTTTTGCACTAAGCCTGCGGTTTGTACTTGATACCATAACTTTTGTGACTTGTATTGTTTTATATCAACAATATGTTGATTAACCTCTGGATATTTTATTATATTCAACATTTAATTGAATAATCTTTTTGCCTATTATAAACTAAACATAATAACGATAAATTGGTTTGTAGTTTAATTGATGAACATTTCAATACTGTCATTTCCCCCAGAAAATTGTGTCTGACTTGAAGAACACGTGGAAGGAGATTGGTTACCTATCAGCTATTTCAGTGGGTGTGGCTTTTATTGTGGTTTTGCTAATGAGGTTCTTAGCAGCAGTGATTGTATGGACATTGGTTATCGGGGTGATGTTGTTATCAATGGGTGCTTCTACTTACTGCTGGTAAGATGGAATTTTCTTATTTGCAAACTGACTAAGTATTTTATACAAACAGAGACAATAGGGTAAACTTTAAACCATTATGCAAATTTGCTATATATATATTAATATAGCGGAAATGTAATAAAAGTGTTCTTCCGCGATAGGTGTGATAATAATATGCACCGGTATGACCAAATTATGACGGTATATAATAGAACGGGTCTTAGCACATATTTTATTTTTTATCGTAATAGTTCAAAATTCCTTTATTAACACCATGCTACAATGTGTCATGTATAAGGTACATGTATATTTTTCTTACATTTATATATATACATGTAACTTTCAGTAGAGCATTTTCAGTCAGAAGATCATTATAGATCTTTAAAACTTCGACCTCGAAATATATAGCACCATACCTGCCGACAGTCCGATGAAATATACCAGAAATATAACAAATCCAAGTCGATCGAAAGCACGCGCAACTTCTTGCCATGTGACGTGGTCATCCAGGTCTTGCTCAAGGTGACTAATTGAGGCACTGGGGGACCGTTTCATGTTATTTTTGTAATACATGCAGTTGTCCTTATCGTGTTGTGATATTTTATTTTCTTCATTCGTGCAGCATTTGAGTAATTTTGTGAAACGAATGTATGCGGGAGAAATCTTGGACGCATGGTCTGTGTAAAAGACGCGCATGTTTACCATCACGCAGATCATAATCATTACACTTCCGGAAAAAAGTAACATCAAAAAATAGCAAAGCAACGACATTGGAGCAGACGTTTTTGGAATATTGTCGCTTACTAAAGTCATAAATACAGCAAATGACAACAAAATTGTAACGGAATATGATAATCGTTCCCCACTTTGAATTGGGATTGCGAACGATAGGCAATTCAAGAAACTCAGACATGCAATCGGTACTATCACGTTGACGACAAAGAACTCGGACCGACGCACAAAGTTGATGTCAAATTGAATTATGGAAATTTGGCCGTGTGGATAAGTTGATACGTTGGTCGTTCCTAATTTCCATTCTCCATTTTCATGATAGAAATCTGTTTGTATTTGTTGCATTGAAGATTTAAGAGAAATTTCTTCCCATGAATATGACCAAGGGGTGAATATAATCATGCAACTCTGTTCATCAAATGGATAGTTGTAGACGTCAAACTCGCATCTTGAACGGAAAACGTCACCTGGATGCCACAAGATTTTTCCGTTGTACATCACGCGCACCAGAGCGTCGTCTGCATTCAGTCTGCTAACTGACTTAGATGGGTTTCCCAAAATAATTGGTGGTGTCCAAACCTGTAGTCAGAAAATCGAAAATTCTTTTTTTTGTTTGTTCTTCTTTGCGAATTAAACTAAAAACGTGAAGTAAAATGTAAAATCAGTTTTCCTTTTTTGACAGTTGAGCAAACAAAACTTGCAATACAATTTGATGATTATAAGATCGATTGACAGTTTAAACTGTTTCCCCATTTGTTCATTACTCAGTGTATAGAAGAAAAGCATTGTTATTAATTTAACGAAAGCAGATTCGATATACGTGTCTTGGTTTTATAACGTTCACTTAAATTGCAGTGTAGCTAAAAGAATTAAAACTATAGTATTAGAATGTTAATATCTTACATGTTTTGGTGAAAACATTATGCTGCTGACACCAGTAGATTGATAATCCCATTTCAGTCTTTCGTCCATCCACGATATAGTGACATATCCCACTGTATTTAGCTCACCTTCAATTTCGTCCAGTTTATTCAACGAGGCAAGATTGAACGCCATCTCTATGTACAACGGTGTCTTGCAATCCAAACATGGCCTTATGTCTGCATTATATTCATCCAAAAGTGTACGGTGTATATTGTACGTATTGTTGCTTTTTAAACTCGTAACGCCGAATATAACACATGGTAAAACAATTGTTATTTGCACAAACAAATTCATTTGAATATACCGGTATCTAGCCGTACACGTCCTTAAAAGTCTCACATTTTACATAAATATTCTCTTGTCTTTTTCCGGCACTGAAGTAATAGTGTTAGCGCCGATAATAAAATATTTTCTATTTTGAAATCATCCGACTTAGATATCAGCAATGAGCGTCCTCCTCTTTTGTGAATTGAATCAACATAGTTGTATTTGCGCTGACAAAAAATCAAATTAGATCTATATAATTGTATATAGAGAGTATTATAAGATTGCTTAGAGGTTTTATAATGTCAAATGTCAAATCTACTCTTTGGGGAGAAATGAAATAATTAGTAGATATTCACCTTTTTAACATTTATGACATATGTAGATTTTTTATTAATAATGCATAATGTATAGGAAATGGCAAATGTTCCACGAATAATTATATTAATTGAAGATAATTTGCTCTATATAAAATATTAAAACAAAGCGCCAGGGGTTTATGATAAATTATCAACAGCATTCTTACAAAAACGAACGTATTATTTATCACAGTTTACACCTCACATCACTAATAGAGACTGTTTTTGCGAAAATAGTGTATTCCTAAGAGATGAACGTCGAAGCCGGAGTGCAATTTAATATATTAATGGGGTAATCAGGCAAATTAATGACAAAAATATTAAAATGATTTTATGTACTCAATTCACGCTAAAATGACATTATTTAAAGTCCCAGCATGAATTTCTGTATAAATTCTATATACTTTTGTTTTGAAGCGTAAATACATCTATATGTATTTTGAACGAAATTTAGACACCGACAAAATCACAGAGTAGGTTAAAAAGAAATTATGTAATTTGAACAAAGCCTGGAAGTTACAATAACAGATATTGTGGATATTGTATGATTGAAACCAAGTCTAAGTCATTCATTTCACATGTTCTTTAACGTTTCCGGAGTTAACTTTGACAACTATTGTGAAACTTTAACGCTCAAATATGATAGTTTAACAACATAAAGGGCAATCTTGATAGTTATAAAACAACATCAGCTAGATATAGAAATAATATCCTTACATTTATCAATAAAATCATCCAAAAAGACGCATTATCATATGGAATGCATTCAGATTTTGTGAAAGGACAATTGCAACTTCACGGGTTTTTTCTTAAGTCTTAAATTCAGGTAACAGTCTTCCATTATATTGATAAATAAATTATTTATTAAAATAATCTTTCACCATATCAACATGCCATGCAAATTTATTCATGATTTTTAATGTACCATTATTTTTGTTAACGCCTATAACAAAAGAAATTCTGAATTTGGTCTTTTTGAAATTCATCCCAAATTTTTCGTTCCTGTGTGTGTTCTACTTTCAGTATTTATCTGGGACTTGAAATAAACTTCTGTATCTTAAGTTCCAGCCATGGAAAAAAATGCATGTAATATGACTATATGAGCCCGTTTTGTTACTACTTTTATAAACTGTTTGTATATTCGTTACATTTATAAATAATAATAATAATAACAACAACAATAGAACAGACTTTGTTCATTTTGACTACTGTTTTGTATGTTCCAAAGAAAATACATTTAATATTCTAATATGTAGCAAGCCTACCAAAGGTCATGATGAACAATGTCTGTCGTCCGCCCATTGATCTATGATATACAATTCTGGTAGAATTCAATTAACCATTGAAACACTTATACGAAGATTGGTCTTCAGATGTCTACTAGTTTATCGTCACTTGCTGCATTTTTTTCCTTGGACGCCTTTTGATGCTTTGCATCAATGCTTTTCTTGTTTTTAATTTGAAGGTATTGTCCCATAACGTTATGAAGATAACGATAAAGCTAAGAGCTGTACAGCTTGCACTTATGAAGTAAACTCTTTATTAAGAACCATAGTACGTTTACTCGTGCAAACTGCCGAAAACCTAAGATTGTCCAGGTCCGTATGCGCATTAGCCATTTTTTGGTCCTTTTACAGAACAACTACGTATAGGATTGGACTGTTTAAGTAAATTGATTTTTTTTATCAGCCTTCTCCTTACTTATTTAAAGTGAATTAACATACGAGATTATGCCGGTTTTGTTATTTAGGTAAAAAAAAATCACACACAAAAACATCGTAATTACATGATACTTGAATATTTTGTTGTAATAGAGATCAAATATATAATTATATCATTCAGCAAACTACATCATTTACGCGCTATTTTTTAATGATGATAATAAATACTAGTATATAGTTCTGGATACTTGAATCTAACCTTTTAGAAAGTACGGCGGAATTTTGATCTCGCATTTGCAAGTTCGAATCCTCGCCAAAATATTTACTTTATTGTAACTTAACTTATTACTTCTTTCTTTAAATCATATGTAACATGAGTTGATAAATACTGTGTTTAATTTCTTATAGTTAATTTTTAACTTTGATAAATATGTAAATTTTTCAATGATTTATATGTAAAGTTCTACACTGAATGATTCGCATGCACAAAAACATAGCGGTTAAGTTTTGCAAAATATAATTAAAAAAGAAAATATAAAATGATAATGTTTCACTAAGATTCTAATATACAACCGTCAATTTGAAATTGTCGCATGATGTATATCTACTAGTTTTTAAGCATAAAATGGCAATTACTGGTTCACCTAGTTCACGTACACGTAGTTTACTAGATCCAAACAAGGATTAACAGAATTTGGATAATTTACACTTTTACCAAGTGTCTTATACTGAAAAGCTGGTTTCTAGTGTCTGTAGCGTTTTCCTGATTAGTGTTACATTCATGAATGATACAGGTATTGTTACACATACATTTTCTGCTCGTGACTGTCGTACAACTCTTGTACAGCTAGTTGAAAACTTTTGACTATCTAGTGTACAGAATCATTCCAAGTGATATGCTACAGAAATATATAAGGGCAACAGTCAAGCAAATTTTGTCCAACGCAGCCGCGACGTCTTGCCACGTGACTTTTTTATTTGATGACGTTCTGTTAGCATCGCTACTTGTCTGCCCACAGAGGTTGTTGTCGTTTATTTCGCCGTCAATTTTAAGTTTATGTCGATCATGTGTTCGGATGAGTTTGTTCACTATATTACACAACAGTACATATTTTGGTGACACTAAAATATCCGGATTTGTGTAGAATACTCGCATATTGGACATGACAAAGGTCATGATTAAAACACTTCCGCTAAACAATGACGTCAGATAGTAACAGAGCAATGACATAGGAGCAGACGTCTTTGGTATGTTGTCACTGACTAAAGTCATAAAAACACAAATGACAGTATATGTTATGTATATAAAATTCTCTCCCCTTTCAATAGGAAACGAAAAGCTAGCAGTTAGAAAATTTGGAAGGTATTGGGGGCAAAATATTAAAGACAAAGAATTTTATTTCTGATGAAATTAAAAGAAAAACTACGAAAAAAACCCCCTTTTTTTGTATAAGTTGATGATGATGTCGAACCAAGTTTCCATTCGCCATTTTCTTGGTAGAAAGAAGTATCTACGGTTTCTGATATTGCCATGAATGTAATTTCTGTCGCCAAGTAGGACCATGGTGTGAACACTATCCAACACGACTGTTTGTCGAACGGATAGCTCTGTACGTTGTACTCACATCTTGACCGGAACACGTCACCTGGGTGCCATATCACTGTTCCGTTAAACAAAACCCGGGCTATTGCGTCGTCTGCATTCAGGTGAGTAATCTGTTTGGAAGGATTTCCCAAGAGAACAACTGGTGTCCATATCTGTATAAATAAGCATACAGTTGTACTGATAACTTAAGCTAAGAATTTTTCCAGATGAATGGAATTTTACTGGAGAATATTTTTTTGGAAAATATATATATAATATTAATGCTAGAAAGATAAGTAACATTGATGGAACTGCCTTTACTATATACATGTATGCGAAATTCTATATTTCTATTGGTTGTTATTGAAGACATGTATGTGTGTTGATAACGACGGTATAATCGCTTATAAAATGTGTCACAGATATTCACATATATACACATTTGTATTCTACTTAGTTGTTACTGAATTACCGTATGGATATATCATGTAACATGTTCAGTTATTACAAATTACAATGGAGGATATACCTTTATAGAGTTTGAAATGAATTAAATAATGTTCTTCTGTAATGACGGACATAAAAGTATTGTACATGAAAGTACCATTGTTGTAAAGTTAGTTACCTTAGTTGACGGTATCATTATATTTCCAATACCATTCGACTTTGGATCCCACGTCAGACGGTCATCTGTCCACATAATTTTAAGATAACCAACTGTGCTTAACTCGCCTTCTATTTCATCTATTTTATTAAGCGCCGCTAGGTGGAACTGTAATCCAACATAAAGTGGTGTCACACAGTCTAGACATGGTCTGACATTTACATTGTAGTCTTCCAGTAGATGTTTGTAAAGTATATGTGTGTTATTACTTATTTGTTGTCCAACACCACCTGCCGTCCATAGAAGAAAAATAAGCGCTCCCATTAAACACGTCACTTTTAAAATCTCCATAATACACGTCGACGTGCAAGAAGTATTTATATAATATTTTTCAAAAGTTACCTTAGAAAAAATGTTCACATACAGGTACATAATATTTACGTTAAAACAAATTTGTTTATCAGAATGTTCGCACCTTTTCGTTTCTTGTTCTATTTTTTTCTTTCATCTTTCAAGTATTTACTATTTCCTCTATCATTGCCCTCATAATATGCTAAAAAATCCAGTTTTATATAACGCGGTGTGTATTTGTTCAAATATTCATTAATCACAAATCAAGACGCCAGGCAATGTCTGGACAACGGCAAAGCCACAGTTACATAAAGTATGTTCTATATATATTATATATATATTCCACTGTTTTGAAGAAAATAATTGATACAAATTGACATTTCCAAGCATATAAGGTCAACAGGCGGAAAACACTTTTTGCGGAATATTTCCCCTTTGACATTTCCATTATTTATACCATTAATGAGAAATAGTAATATACTTTTGTAATTTTGGTGCGCACATTAGTCCCAAATAGATCTTGAAAAACCCCTGTAAATTATGGATATGCTAACAAGTCAAGAACATTCGTAGCGGTTTATGAAATACGCGTAAAAGTTTTTGCGCAGACTTAAAATGACTGCAAATGAATGGAGTAACACCACAGCTGAACATAGCATACCTTCAGAGGGGTCGAATGGATGAAGGATATATTACGTTTCCAGTTCTTTTTTTTCCCTTTATCAACATATTTTAAAATATCTTGGCACTATATGATAAGACAATTTGTCATGCACAACAACCAAATTGGACTCGCTCCAAGGTCGAGTTCACACTTAGAGGGTGAAAGTTTAAAAAAAAAACAGAAAGTTGAACAGTCCATAATTTGTATACGGAGATAAGAAAAACATTGTCTTTACATATGACGGATGTTTTGTACCAAAGCAAGAAATTAAGATTTGGTCCCGGAGTGTTAAGCTGGTGTATATTAATGTTTTATGTACTTTTACAGAAAATGCGTATTATTTGTTTTAAAAAAATCAAGCATTATTTCAAAGCATAACTGCCGATATATGAATCAGTTTTTGAGACAGGGGTGCCGATATGTGTTATAATTCAATTACATTTCAAGCAGATATGCCATAAATCAATTCAGTATCATTATATAATGTGCTCCTTTTAGTTCAAGGTACTTAACGCTTTAAAACAAGAAGGAAAACAAACAGTGAATTTATGGCACAAAATGTGTCATAAACTGTAAAATTTAGGTATTTTCTACTGTATGACACAAAGAAACAACAACATATTCAATCAAAATCAGACTTACTGGTCAAGATGTAGATCATAGATTGATCAATTTGAAAACATAATGTCATCATTTAAATCACGATAAGTGGTGTAGTGTTTTCATGTTTAAATGTTTTATTGCTCAGTTTTAAATATTAAAACCATCTTCATTTTGTAACTCGTTTTTTTTAACAAACAGGAACTTTTAGAAATATTTTAATTAACGATTATTATGACTTTTTGCAGAAATTAGTAAAATGCTGTTGTTCTGTTATATGAAAAATCCGATTTTAAATATTTTGCACAAAAAAAAACTTTGTTTCTTCAAAAACAACAAAATCGGATAAACCATAAATTTATGAGTACTTGATTTCATGTTTATACAAGGTATTCATGGCATAGTCTGAACAACGAGTTCAAGAACTTGCCGACTAGTGAACAGACGGACGAAGCGATTCACACGGTACACACATGGCTTATTTATGCTGGAATAATATCCCTGATCACAGTAAGTGGTCAAAATATTAAATTAAATGTTCAATTCACAGTTTAATCGCGTTTGGCACATCAGAATTTCATTTTTATTTTTATTTAGTTAACTTATTTTTTTAGATTAAATAATGAATTAACTAGTATATATTTTTTCACATTTCGTATAGTTTACGTGACTGTTTACATAGTTATTTATTACAACATTGTATATCATTCTTATTCGAAATAGGTAAACTTGGATATACATTTATATTGAATAAACTTTGACACAGCTAAAAAAATTGTCGTTTGTCAATTCCGGGAAAAAAATGCCCTAATACTCGTTGTTATTGAAATATCGTTTTTGCACTTTGATAATGCGAACGGTATTATTTAGTGAAATTAAATTTCACAAAACAATAACTTATCGTCGCAAAGAATTAAAATGTGTTTCTTTTCTTCGTTTTAGATTGTCCTCTTTCTGATACTGTTGGTTCTTCGGAATCGTATTATTCTTGTAAGTAAATTATAATAATAGTTTAAACATAGTTTATTTCAAACAATGATACATGTACATCATGTTGTTAATACATTTACAATAATTAGATACACGAATGAAAAAGGATTAGAGCCGAAAGCTATAAAGCTTATAAAGGTCTTCTCCTACATAGTTGTACAATGCAGTTAAATTATGACAGTGTTTGCAATATTGTTTGAAACAATGAGGTTAGTTTTTAACATATTTGAAACGAAACAAATATCGAAGATCAATAGATCTTTTTTTAAAGAATATAAATAATTGAAAAGAATTAGAAAGAAGGTAAAGAAGATTCATTCGGATAGGTCAAGTTGGCAAATTATTTTGTGAATCTAAGCTCATGAATTATATTATAATAATAGGCTAGTAACATGATAACATTCCTGTAATAAAGTGGTGTATATGTATTTTGAATGCCATACGGCATAACATTCCTGTAATAAAGTGGTGTATATGTATTTTGAATGCCATACGGCATAACATTCCTGTAATAAAGTGGTGTATATGTATTTTGAATGCCATACGGTATAACATTCCTGTAATAAAGTGGTGTATATGTATTTTGAATGTCATACGGCATAACATTCCTGTAATAAAGTGGTGTATATGCATTTTGAATGCCATACGGCATAACATTCCTGAAATTAAGTGGTGTACATGTATTTTGAATGCCATACGGCATAACATTCCTGTAATAAAGTGGCGTATATGTATTTTGAATGCCATACGGCATAACATTCCTGTAATAAAGTGGTGTATATGTATTTTGAATGCCATACGGCATAACATTCCTGAAATTAAGTGGTGTACATGTATTTATGTATTTTGAATGCCATACGGCATAACATTCCTGTAATAAAGTGGCGTATATGTATTTTGAACGTCATACGGCATAACATTCCTGTAATAAAGTGGTGTATATGTATTTTGAATGCCATACGGCATAACATTCCTGTAATAAAGTGGTGTATATATATTTTGAATGCCATACGGCAAGCTTTGTTTACACTGATTCAGGAAACAAAAAAAAATACTTTTCTTATTAGTTATTAAATGCACAAAATTTTTAGTATCCTCTTTTTTGCCATGTTTATCTAATTGTGACGTTATAATTTCACACAATTTTTATACTGATATATTAGAGGGAAAAAAGAATAAATCATTTATTAAAGAAAATAATAATTCATTATTGAGATATAAAATACATTTTAAAACTGAAGTTTTATAATTCAGGTCGTGCAGCTATATAAGGAAGCAGGAAAGGCTGTAGGGCGCATGCCGTGTATGCTTTTGCTACCATTTACGGTAAGTTTTTCAATACCACACAGTTTGTTGAAAGTGTTTACCTAGTTTTCAGAAAATTCTTATATTTTGTTTGTAATAACAATTTCAGAGCGTTACGCTTCATTTTCTTTCTGTAATACTAATTAATATCAAAAATATCACTTCATCTATTGACCGAACATTTGAATTCGTAAATGTTTTTTTCTGTAATGAGGAATACTAATAGAAAAGAGACACCTTGCTTCCATGTGATTCTAAGTTCGTATTTCAAAGAGTATTCTTTATTTTTCAGACATTGATATCTATCATTGCTTTCGTGGGTTGTCTGTGCTTGATTGCTGTCTTCATAGAAACCTCAGGTTTGTTTTTTCTTGAGACAAATTTGTATGCATAAAATCTTATACTTCTTTTGAATGGACAGGCATTTATCAGCAGACAAAACGCCTGTACAGTCTGGCAATACTTCTCTCTTTTGGGCTCAATGAGTATATTATTTAAAAACTTAAACTAATTATAGAAATTTATAAATTCCAAACAGGACAACACAACCCCATTGACAGTTTTTTTTAGAAAAAAGAAAAACATTCTTGGTAAATAAAGGGAACTCGGCAATATTATTTAAAGATGACGATTGAATGTATAGATTTATATTTCATTGACAAAAAAATAATTCTAACTTCTTTATCTAAAGACGGTTGAAATCTTAAATATAATGACAATTTAATGTTCCTAATAATTCATTTACAGGACTTCCTGAAATTAAGAAGAATGGACATGTGAAATATGTACAGGAACCGTTCTGGAAGGTAATTGCTGACTTGTATAACTTGTAGAGAATTGCCATAACTTAATGTTCAGAACACGTTCTAACATGATAGGAAATGTTTTCAGTTGTATATACATGTATATAGTGTAATGAGTTGGCTACATGTGACTATAAAGCACTTACATTTGGAAATGACGTACTCTTTTTAGAGCCCTTGCAAGACTGGTATATGAACAGAAAGTATTTTAAGGCCAACGTACGTATTATTGCATTGTTTCATCTAGGTTATGTGAAAGCTTTAGGAAACATTTAATTTCCATAAATTTCATGAAAATTATGTTTCTAACTTTTAGATTTTTCAATTGCAAACATTTTTAAAAATAACACCGGGGTTAAAAGGAAAAATTTTCTTTACTGCATTTTGAGGGATATTTATAATATAAATTATAGCCTACCATGACAAAAACAAAAAATGCTTTGCGACCCCCATGGATCCCAAACCGGTCCGCCTTCCAAACTTTTTTATTTAAAAAGTGAAACTGATGGGAAAAAAATGGGGAAACAGATGCGCGGGGCCAGGGTGGTCTGGATCCCTGCTGGTCGCAAACGCACACTGTTGGTTTTGTCATAGCGCGGCTCATTATTTAAATGTTTATTATTTTCAGTATTTACGGTGGTACAATATATTCGCGATGCTATGGATATCCTCGTTTCTTGTGGCATGTCAGGACATGGTGGTTGCCGGGGCGGTAGCTACCTGGTATTTTACCAAGTAAATATATAAATTTTCTCGTAATTCGTTTTCTAGAAAATACGAGATAATATAAAATATAATAATCTCGGACAGTGGTGCTTAATTGTATATATTATAAGATCATGTGCCAAAAACTATGGGTTTTTTGTTAATAATTGCGTCTTTTTATGGCATTCTATGTAACAAGAGGGTGACGATGGCCATTTATTCCCAATAACGAAAAACATATATTTATAAATAATAAATGTACAAAAAAAACAAGCATCGGTGTCAGCACATATGCTTTAGTCATGAAATCCATTGTGACATACACTTATAATTACTTATTCCAGGCGTCAAGAAATCTATTCTTATTCGTATCAAGGGAAGAAAAATACGCATGTCTTATCATTAAACAAAATTTAAATGTGTTGTATTCATAAGGAGAATAGTGTGGTTAAGCATCAACGATGATGTAACGCTTTGATAACAGTTTTATGTGCAACTACTTGTACATCATATCTCGCCAAACGCTTGAGATATTTGCTTAAAACTTCACAAAATTTTAGATCATGATAGGACGGCTATAACTCTAGCATAGATTTCCACAGACACTTAAAACGCCTTTAAAATCCAAATAAAACGTGTATTATTATAGACGTTGAAATATGATTTTTTTTTTTCAAAACGGTTTATATTAAGTTTTTTTATATATATGATCAGTACATGTGCTGCGATTGACAAATATACATTATATTTGGATTTTAAAGGAGTTTTAAGCTCCACCCCCTAAGTGTCTGAGTAGATTTGACACTATAATAGGGTTTTATCTTTGTTATTTGCCAGGACATGCGTACATTTTTTACTTTACTTGTGCATGACTTTGAAATGATTTCGTGATGACCAAAATATTATAACAGTTTACTATACGTACATGTATCGTTTTTGTTACAGTGTTTTAAAACTGGTGCATTTAATATCATGTAAAACAATCCGAATTTTTTGTCAGCAGACAATATGGAAAACTGAGGCTTTGTACCGCCCTTATACATGTATTTGTAATGTGTCGTGTTCTTCTGTCCGAATATTGTACAACAATTTAGTAGTATTTATATTATAAATAACATGTATCAAAACGTGTATCAAATTGACGAAATTAAATAATACATGCAAGCATTTCATAAACAACAGTGTTTAGACACATCCTATATTTCCAATATGCAGTCAATGATTAAAATAATTCATAATTTTTGGTTTGTACATCTACCCTTCAAGTTGTGTCAGGTGGTCAAGAATATCATAAATGTTTCTATATGTTTTTTTATATATTCACATGTATATTTATCCTAACAAATTATCGAGCATAGCTGGAGTCTTAACAGGCCTTTAATTTTGTAGAACATGATCTTGAATTAAATCATATACAGATGTCACTAACATATTCTTCGTAATTGTAAATTTTCTCATAAATACAAGATATGTCATAATTTCCATAATTTTCTTATTATAATAACTTTGTATTTCATAATAATGAGATAAATCTTTAAGAGAAAAATATGGGGACACTATCTTACTTTTGTATAGGCAAGATTCAACCAGAAGTTTTATAACAGTTTAACAGTATGAAGTGAATAATGTTTAGAAAAGACAATGTGAAGCCTGTCTATGAATATCAGTTTATGGACAGCTGATTTTTATAGATTGTTAAATGATTTTAGCAATTTTTTCTTCAGTTTGAAACAAAGTCCATTAAGAAATATGTTTATGACATAAGTTATACATGTATTTCTTTAAATTTTAGAGATAAAAAGAAACTAGGCTGCCCAATTACTAGGTCATTTGTGAGACTGTTTAGGTAAGTTAAGTAAAGAAATTGTTTTGCTATTGGGTTTCACATTATTCATTATTCACATTTGCAAAAATCTTAACATATATTTCTTTTTTATTTGGTTTATATATTTATATATTTGCTGGAAATATTTGGTTTATATAATTGCAAATATTATTTTGTTAATAAAATTGCAGGTAGAATTGAGTTTATATAATTGCAGAGATTATTTTGTTTATATAGTTGCAGATACTATTTTGTATATAAAATTGATGATTTGATTTATAAAATGGCAGGTGTGTTTTGTTTTATGGAGTTTCAAGTATTAATTGTTTTATTATATTGCAGGTATCATTTGGGATCAGTTGCATTTGGATCATTTATCATTGCAGTTGTGAAGTTAGCTAGACTTATTCTTGCTTACATACAGAGAAAGTAAGGGTTTCATACAAGTTATCTAACATGGTATGACTTAACATGTAGCTAACCATTAAAGATGTCCAAATACCCAACTCAGAGACATCTAAAATAGCAATATTTATTTTAGATAACAACTTAAAAGTACATATACAATGATAAAGATTATAAATGAACCAACAGCCAACGAAACCAAAAGGACACTGCCATAAAAAAAATACTAGCATAAGGCAAAAAATAACTTTGCATGGATTTTATTTACATGTATACAGGACAAGCAATAGAAACAAGCCACGGAATAAATATATTTATTATAATCATCTTTTCTTGCGTATAGTTATTTGCATTAGAGCATTTGACAGCAATATGCTTATTCATGTGTAATGTTTGTAGTATCATTTTAGTGAAAATTGGACAACAAATATAGCTTATTTTGCATTTTTTTAAAAATATGCACTCTTCACAAGTACAATGTCTGAAAGTCTTTTTTATTTTAAAGTATGTGCCAAATATTTTTTTTTTTAAAAAGCATACCCATCTTGTCTAGTCTTGATAATTCTATAGGAAACTAGCCTTAAAATTTACAAATGATAATGTTTTATTACATGTTTTTCGATGGTTGATAGAAACATATCAGCGAAATATAAAACTGATATTCTCATTGTTTGAAAAAGTCAAAATATCAATTTGATATTTTTCATTGTTTTGAATTTAAGCCAGTTGTGTTGTTACAGTGAAATACCAGCATGCACAGTACTGGAAACCAACTGTTTTCATTTAGTACTAGTGTTAGGTTAAAATGTCATTTTAAACGTTTCTTTGCATATATAATAAAAGGAAACTTTGCTAAGTTTAGTGTAAGATCGAAATATATTTCACCTCATGAACGCCAAAAGTTCATATATCACTTGTTGTTGTGCCACTTGTGAAATATACTTTTTTTGTGCTCTCTTGGTGAAATATATTCAGATCTACACTGAACTACACAAATATCCTTTATTTAAACCGGTCACCTGAAACTGTTACCTGTAACTGTTTTGTTGTCAATTGTCAGGTTAAGAGGTAAAGCAGGAAAGGTGGTGGACTTTATCTTGAAATGTCTTCAGTGTTGTTTATGGTGTTTTGAGAAGTTTCTCAAATATCTCAACAGAAATGCATACATTGAAATAGGTAAGAGACAGCCTTTTGCAGCCAACATGGCTATACTTTGCTAAAAATGATTTGCCTTTTTTATAATTCTATTTTTTTCATACCTATTCATATTCAGTATGAAATCTTTAAGAAATGTTCTCATATATAAATTACTGACAAATTGTTCCTTCAGCTATATATGGATACAGTTTCTGCAGAGCAGCTCAAAAAGCTTTCATGATAATTGTCAACAATGCTTTACGTGTGGCAGCCATAAATTGTATAGGGGATCTTGTATTGTTTCTTGGTAAAGTTTCCACTGTTGCTGTTGTCATGGTTATAGGCAGAGAAATGCTCAAGGTACGACACAAAGTGCATTATTATGATTATTAGTCTAAGTACCTTAAATTTTTAAATGCTAATAAATATTTTTTAAAAACTGCTTTTTTTTCAATTTTTAATCCATTTCCATGCCTTACAAGGGATTGCAATGAATGTTCATAATCAATTAAATTTGGTAAATGATACATTGAAAATAGTCTGCTGAATGTTAAACATAAATACAGAGATACAATAAAGTTTACATGCATCAGTAGAATTTGCAAAATAATATTAAAAAAATATAGGTCTATACCTAATCAGATATACATTACAGGGGCATGATGACATCAACTATATGTGGGTACCAATGTCTGTAGCATGTGCATTTGCCTTCGCTGTTGCTCACTGTTTCCTGCTTATATATGAGGTAATTCACAGTACTTTGGTATCTTGGTTATAAAACAGTTTTACGTTTTATTGACAAACAATAGCCTATACATCAAATTTTAATATTCTCCAAAGGAAGGCAATAGAAAGGCTTTTTATGTTGAGTTTAAATTTTTGAAGTCATATAGACACAGTATAGGTCAGTCATATGGCTACTTTCCAGTTTTACTAGTGGAGGAATACCTTCAGGTGTCATTCAGTGCATTATTTCAGGCACAAGCAGGTATCATAGTAAAAGCAACAAGGTTCCATAGGCTAGCTGGATAGCTTCCTCACATGAAAAAATTCAAAGGCCCTGTCGAGATTCGAACCCACAGTATAGAGGGGCAAATGGTTTGAAGTCAACAACTGTAATAGTCAAGTCATATAAGGTTGAAATCATATAAGGTTGAAACTAATTGATTTAATTATTTGTTGGAAAAAAAAAAACGGCTTAAGATTGTGCATAGATAATTAGACAAAAAAGTATGACTCTTAAAGGAGCTACAATATACACATACTGACCTAAGTAATTCAATTGACAGATTGACTTGCCATTCAATTTTTAAGGATTTGATATTTAAAGATTTTACTATTTAAATATTCAGATCACAATAGATACAATATTTCTGTGTTTCTGTGAAGACTGTGAGAGGAATGATGGACAGGAAAGGCCGTATTTTATGAGCAAAAATCTAATGGTGGGTATAATGGCTTTATATACAATTACCGGGTGTAATAGTAAATTGTAGATAACTCGTAGATAAAAGTACTTTCATGAAGTTGTTAACCTTGTTTTATGGAGATTTATCTGTAATTTACTTACTAACAAATTTTTGTGATGGAAATCAAGAATATAAAATGTTGCTGCTAATCACTTTAAATGAATTCAGACTATTTCTAATCTCAGGTTATCATTCTTGCTATATATCAGTCATTGGTCAATTTTTTTCTCAAAGTTTTTGTTATAGAGTAGAATATACCCAGGTCACTTTAATCATTATCAAACTAGTATTGCAAAAACAGGGCAATTTACGTCAGAAAGGATATTATAATTGATCCTTTTTATAAGTAAGTTAGCCTAAACTTTGGTTTCATCATGAAAAATCTGCCTTTAAAAGGTATAACTCCATGCTTTGAAACAGTTCATAACTTGATGCTTTTAACCAGTTATAACTATACTTTTAAATGTATAATAACTATGGGACATAACATGGTAAGTAAATCAATTGAAATATAAACAGTCTGAAATTGAGATCAGCAATGCCATACCATATAAAACATCCCAATATCCTAACATATTCCTTTAATAATATGAAAATCTTTATCTTCTTTAAAGGAACTCCACTGAGGTTTATAAGGCTAAAAGATCAATACAAGCACTCAAAACAGAAGTATAAATAAAATATAACTAAGAAATATACAAGAAATACATTAAAAATCGTATGTTTGTGCTATTCTCGTTCTGATTTGAGTAATAAGCGTTTAAACGCTTTTCAATTTTGGGTCATTTTTCACTATTGTAATAATTATTCTGGAAAAACGGAGCGAGCTAATGATCTGAAATTTTACACATAAGTTATAAGTATAGATCTACATCAAATGGAGTAATAATCTCCAAAAAATGTTTCCAGTCCCGTCATGTCAAAAAACCTCAGTGGAGTCCCTTTAAATTATTATAAAACATTACTTTTGTAGGTGTACTTGAACAAGGCCAACAAAGCTGAAGAGACATCCAAGACAAAGATTACCCCAAAACTAAAGAAAACCAATAGTTTAACAACAAAACTCTAATGAAATCTTTGAATCTTTTTGCCTTATAATAATTGTGAAACTTCTAATAAGTAAAATGGTGACCACCAAAAAAAGTATTTTTTCTTAAATTGTAATTATGAAATCAAAACAAAATGATATGATATTCTTGGTTAAAGCATTAATAAACATTATTACATGTACTAGTACAATTGTATAATTATACATAAAATGCTCTTGACAAATTCAGCAGAACATAAATCATGTCTTTCATATTACATTTAGCTGTTTGATTAGAGAAGAAAATAATTATATTACATGCAAACCAACAAAAAGACATATTTCAAGAGCACTTTTTTGACTTTTTAATCAATGTTCACAATTTTCTTGTTCAATTTTGGTTATATGTTGATATTTGTTCATTTATGTAAGTACAATTGATTAAATAAATCCAATTAAACAGTTGATAAAAGTTTGTCTTGTACTTAATTTAGTATGCAATAAACTTAACTCAAGTACACCATACATATAAATACAAAGTCCAAATAGAATATATTAAATTAGTGTGGATACTTGATAATTTGATCATTAAATTCAATACAGCAATCTACAATCATTTAATATCCTCTATAAATTATTTCTTCTTATAAATTCACACACACAAGCACACACACACATTTTTACATTGTATTCTACTCTGACTGAAACCGCTGCAGTATAAATTTAACTACAGATTATTCATCTTCCTTTTTAGAGAAAATATACTTATACAATTAAAGAGTATGTTTGGGAAGAAATATTCTAATAAGAAAATAACTGTGATGATGTTGTAAACTGTTTCCTTTAATCATTTAAAGGCATATTATGCCTCAGAAACAATTTTTTCCACCTTTAGAAAGAGCAAAGATGAGTTTTATAACTTTTAATTAATGTTTATTAGGCATGCTAGATGCTTATCACCTACAGAAATAGTAGTAAAATGTAAACAAAATAGTGTTTTGAATTCCATACAAAATACTTAATAACTATAACTGTTTAATTGCTCAAGAGCTTTAGAAACAGAAGATGATAATGAATAATTATTTTTTGGAAACTATATCAGGGCACCAAAAATTAAAAGTTTTTAAAAATAAAAATAAGAGCATTTCTGGGGCATAATGGGGCTTCAAAAAGTGGGGGCCACAGTTCAAATTCTTCCAGGTATGAGTGTAAAAAGTCTAACACTTTAGAATGAAATCAAATTTTTGTATGTGAGACAAACCTTTACTATTGTTAAAAATATACCATTTGAAATCTCACAAAATCAATAGATTAAGAATAAACAAAACTGTTAAACTTAAAATTTATTTCTTTTATAAATTGACATGTCTCTTTTATAAATATATTAATATGATCTCATAAATCCTGAAATAAATAAACATTTTAACAACATAAACAATACAAAGAAAGTACAAGGCATAATATAAAATTGCTTACTGAACATTAACGCTAGTGAATTTGTGTAACAAATTTGCCTTGCTTAGACTGTGGTAAATTTCATTCAAGGTTTAAAGTGAATTGGTCAATAATGGAAGGTCTGTTGTACCAAAAATGATTCTCTTGATAGTATTTAGTATTATACTAGTCAACAAACCACAAAAGAATAAAACATGTATGTTGTTGGTACTTTAGTGTTTGATCCATGATCAGATAGTATATATCTTTATACATATATAGCAGAATAACTGATAGAACAAATTATCATTATTATCATATAAATGGAAATACTAAACCACTTAGCACTCAATCAGCATCATAACAACACATAAATCTATTTTTTTTATAAATATTTAAAATGTATCTGTAGTAGACCAATCCACTTTAAATGATTTCATATCGAAATACAAAACTTGAGCTACCAACAGTGTACTATGATGTGCAGGCTAGCCTGGCTATATACTGGGTCACACAGGCTAATCAGCAGCATAAAGATTCTATAAATACTTTAGCCAAGTTCACCATTCAATTATTTATACAAAATATATATCTAGCACTTAAACATGGGTTACACAATAGATTAACAATCCCATTTAAACATACCAACAGTGAAAATGAAATGTTTAGCAGTTTGATATAAAAATAGTAAAATTCAAAATATTTACATTTTTATACTTAACATTCATTTAAAATCATGCATTTTTACCTAAATTAACAATATACTTGAAAAATCAACTTGGACAAACATTCTGACATACTGTCTTGTAAAAAGAATTCCTTTACTATCGTAACTTTACTTACAACCATATAGCATGGTATTTGTAGCTTTACTGCTTAATAAGTTAAGCTGAAAAAGTCCATACCTTAATACCACATTCTAACACTCCACGTGATTTTGTCACTATAGACAAGGAAGGAAAAAACTGGTGTTAAACTGCCAATAAACACTGGTAAGGGACTATTTGTATATGCAGCTGTTATGTTTTCACCCTCGATTATATGGTTTACAAAGCCCTTTAAAGCAACAAAAAAAGCATTTTTATTTATATTTTCAGTTCTTATAATGTTTTTTTTCCAAACAATATCAAATAATATCTCACATACACTGACACCACATATTTGATCCATATCAGTTAATAAATATTTTTACAAATAAAAAAATATTTATCCAGTTATGTTAGCTTTTACTGTAGATGTATTATTTTGTAGAAATAATGCAAGTACAAGCATACACTACCAATTAATCAAACAAAGCAAATTTTTAAACAATTAAACTTTGAACAAAATTTTGTTTAACAAAATGGAATAATTAAAAAGAACCTTTTCCCATAACTTATTGCAGTCAAAACATAATAAAGACACTCATCAATCAAAAACAATTACTGCAAAATCATTATTATTTTTGTGTGGCAGTTATTTTCGTGGGTTTTGTGTACAGGTCAATCAATAAAATTCAGATCAAAACAAATTTCATAATGTCTGCTTAACAATATTTTGCAGTACACTATTTGCATTTCACATTTTTGCAGAAATAGACAATCCATGAATTTAAGAACCCATAAAAATGTCCTTTGTGACTAAACCACGAAATTTCATGCCCACAAAATCGAGTAAATTTACAGTAATCTATAAAATATATATGTCTTTGTCTTGTTACAAGTTTCATATAACAATCTTAGATATGTGCTTTCTCTGTACATACTTCGCTTTGAAGCTATTCAAAAATAAAAAAGTGAACTATAAATGCACACTGTAACAAATGGTATTCTAGCTTTGAAACTATATGAGCAAAACAGTTGATAAAAATATAATATAAATATATATACATTTGTATTTCTATTGTCATATATTTAACAAAGGACAAGTATAGAACTGAGAAGTAATTATAGAATCTATATATGAAATGAAATTCATCACTATGGGAATGAGAGATTGAGAAAATGGGATCAATTCTCCAAAATAATACTATTTTGTTATGATGGGACTGGAAATATTTTTTCTAGATTTTCACACCAACTAATATAGGTCTATGCCAATTACCAGTGAGCAACGTTTAAGACAATTTATTAAGCAAAATGACCCATAAATGAAAAGCGTTTTTTACTTAATTGAGCTCAGAATTTGCAATAAATTTTAATTTCAATAAAAAATTTCTTTGAAATATACTTCTTCAAGGCTTTTTTCCATATTTTCCCTTTTACATTTTATCAATGAAAGATTCTTAAACTTCATGTTTTTAATTTTTTTTAATCTCAGTGGAGTTGCTATAATAATCAATTACAACATTACAACCAAACACCCATTTCCTATGTATAAAATATAGATGTTGTAATAGTCTATTACCTGACAGCTTGAACATTTTGCCCTGCCATTTTTTCTTTAACATGACATTCATCTCATAATAAATAAATATATGATATATTTATGACATATAATCATAGCATCATAAATTAACCTGACAAACAAGCCAAATGCATGAAATATCACAAAAAGTCTTTAACAAGTAGTTTTGAAGCAATTAAAGTAAGAATAAATATTGCATAAAATATAAATTTTTGGTTCCTAAGAATAAAAAATCAAAATTTAAAAAAATTATGTAGACAGAGTAATCATTGTGTCTGAACATTAAGCAAATAATATATAATATAAAAGTGTATTGTAGTCATCTTTTACATATCCCCTGAGTGCTAGCAGCTATTATTGCAGGCATAGAACATTAGCATAGATCAAATCTGTGTTTACAGACCAGGCAGCTTTTGCCAATATGATCATTCAAACAAGAGGGTCATGATTGCCCTAGATTGCTCACCCGAGATCCAATGCTGGAAAATCTCACAACTCTTCAATGCTACAGTAGGTAATTCAAGTGTTTTAAATTTGATAACAGTGGTATGAATAAAATAACTTTTTAGACGTCCACTAGGCAATACTCTGAGCATTGAAGTTTCATACAATAAGACTTTTATGCATTTCCTATATAAGTTTAAATAAACCAAATAACCCCAGGGTGGCGCCAATTTTGACTCAAATAGGCATGATTCATAAAACTTTTGTAGAGGACCACAATGTGATGCTACATGCTAAATATTTAAACCTTCAACACTAATGTTACTGATAATTTTTCAAAGATTTTATTTTTAATGTCTTTTTGTTTAAAGCTCCTGTGACCTACTTGTGCATCAGACTTGAACCATTTATTCAACTTTTTTAGAGGGCCACCAAAAGATCATTCCTGTAAAGATTAGTAAAAAGCTACCAAATGGTTTAGGTGGAGATATTGTTTAACGAAATTGTGGACATAAACACACAACTGGCAATAAACAGATATTATGCTATCACAATAGCTCAGCACTGAGCACTTTGATTAAGTGTCATATGTAGCACTTCGATAAAGTGTTATGTGTAGCACTTTGATTAAGTGTCATATGTTGAGTGTATGATAAAACAGATATGGTCACTTTGAAAATAAGAAATAGTACAGGAACTTTTATCTCGCTCCAGCTGTTGCTCGTTGTTGAACTACACTTCTATATATCAAACTGACATAAATTGCGAGTAGTAACAATATAAAGAAATCATCCAAAAATCCAAATATTCCAAACAGAGCTTCTGGTATAATGTCTAATGGGGAGATAAAGTAGAGGAATGCCAGGATGAAAATAACAAATATGCGGATTCTAAACATGAAAACAAGGCCTCCTACAGTGAAAAATTCGCTGATGGCATGTCGTAAAAGTGTAGGCAGATCTCGTATATAGTCCATCCACTGAAATGAAACATACATAATTGTTACTCCCTTTGTGTAAATATAGATCATATCTTACTCAGATGTTTAATTTTTTCAAAGTTGTAGAAAAAAAATCACTTACAAATAAGATACACAAATGTATTCAAATATCATTAAAATTCCCAAGTTATTCTCATTTATTTTACATTTAAGAGAAGAAAAAAAGAATTAAAGGCCTTAAAACATACATTGATAGTACATGAGTAAAATAATGTATATCTGAAAATACCACTGATAAATCCTGATATTTAAACATTTAGCATATATCAAAGTTATATTTTAGCATATATCAAAGTTATATTTTATTTTTATTATGGTACTGTAAAATCATACATAATCCTATCTTTTAACAAGTATTTTACTATATGTTAAAATTGCACTGCAGGTGCTTAAGTGGGAATAAAACTATTTGTAAGTGCAGGACTTTGCCTTTAATAGTTCTTTTGATAAAATTTACTTTCATTTTTTTCTTTTCAAAGTTATGATTTTGGATTGTGAAACACAAAAGCAAATGAATGATTGAGACATAATACAAAAAGATCAGAGGTGCTTATACTTCCCCTGAAATCCCTACCCTGGATGCCAGAGTTAACTATATATTTTATGACTCAGAAACATGGAAACAATCTTTCCTAACTGCAAGTTAAAAGTTATTTATTTCAACAAACATGAGTATAAATTTATACCTGTCTTGGTTCTCCAGAAAATCTTCTATTATACTGATAGATAGAATCTACAATATTTCTTTTCTCAGGAGAGGCACTATTATGTTCATCCTGGGTAAAATTTACCAACATCAATGTTACCTATAATTTGAGAAAAATATTTTAAAATAACATATCAATAGATTATAATACATTTTTTTTTAAATAATAAAGCAATGAGTCATTATGACACTATTGTCATTTACTGTTGAAACATGTACTATGTGGTGTCTATTTATCTATCTGAAATTTCATTAGCAACATTTTAGTCCTTTCAAAATGTGTAATGATACATGACAAACATAGCAATGTCTTATGGAACTCGGCAATTTTATAGACTCTTGCAGAATCATGTAAAACACATTTATAAATAAACAGTTTTCAAAGTATAAACATACATGTATAATATACATCTTCAATATTATTCAATTAAAAAAAGAAAGAACCCAATTGTATGGTATTTGAATAAAAACGTGTTTGGTTTTCCTTTCAAAAACAAGATTTTTTTAACTTTATTTACACAGTCTCTGCATGGCCTTTAAAAAAACTATGGCTGCAAATGGACAAATTATTAGGCTTTCAGAGAAATTTCAAAACATTGACAAACAAACATATATGACTTTTCAGTTTTTTTACATGAGAATGGTCACTGTGATACAAGAACAGTTCAAGTTAAAACAGTTTTTTGTGGGTTTTTTTTTGTTCTACTTTTTGGCTGCTGTTAGCAATTTTTTTAATTTACAACCTTTGACATTTTTAAAGTACCAAGTGAAAACAGTTACATCATAAGTTGAAAAGTTGATATTTAACAGCTGTTTTGAATATTTCTTTTGAATCTGGGAAAGAGGAGGGTATAACTGATAGGGAACAAGGTCTTAAATTGACCTTAAGAGACAGGGTGAAAAATCAAAATGCCCTGTTCTGGTAATGAAAATACATATGAGCCGCGCCATGACAAAACCAACATAGTGTGTTTGCAACCAGCATGGATCCAGACCAGCCTGCGCATCCGTGCAGTCTGATCAGGATCCATGCTGTTCGCTATCAGTTTCTCTACTTGTTATAGGGTTTGCAAGTGAACAGCATGGATCCTGATCAGACTGCCAGGATGCGCAGGCTGGTCTTGATCCATGCTGGTCACAAACGCATTATGTTGGTTTTGTCATGGCGCGGCTCATATAAAAGCCTAAACAAACCCAACGAGTACTGGGTCAATTAAAAAAAAAACGTGTGGATTTATTGCAGTTTATTACTATCATTTCAAAATTATTATGTTTTAAAATATATTCTGTATATTTAAACAAATAACTTACTGTTTGTCTGCATACAGGACATACCACTGGTCCCAACCATCTGCCATGATGCCAGTATGTTATCAAACATAAACCTGATAATATATAATTTTATATTTTGTAATGTAATATTGTATGATTTTATTCATTTGTTAGCAATGTTATGAGGTACTGATTTACTTTTACACAGTTGTACTTTGAAGCAGAGACCAAACATAATCATAAAATGTTGCTTTTACTTGCTTATCAGGCTTTAATTTCTAGATAATTTATTTTTATTAATATAGAAAAATAAAAATATATTCAATTACATACTAACAAAAAACACAATTTTTTTTGATGAGCACTTTAGAATAACATTAACAAGTAAAGTGATGAAATGGTGCTTAAATTTCTATAGGAGAGCCACGAAATTTAAAAGGAATATTTCTTAAAATGGGACAATTCAAAAATCTCAAAAAGATTTCACTTATAATGAATTTATATTATAAATTTACAGCATATGTAATGTTGTAATATTTCAAAAGCTCATACCACAAAATATGTGTCCACAATTTGTCTGCACCGCATATTCAGCTGTTCCTAGACATATCGGACATTGGTGTTGTCCATGATTTTCTCTCATTGGCCTATTTCTCTCTTGTTGGTCTCCGGCTGTCTGCTGCTGTGTTTGAGTCTCACGATCTTGTTGTGCTCGCTGTTGTTCAACTTCTTCTCTTGTTTCCCGAACATTTTCCTCACTTTCAGGGTGGATTCTTTGAACAGAATTTGACCTGGAAAAAAAGAAATGATTAAAATGCACTGGAAATGGTGGTCTTCATAGCTGACCAATCTCGCTAATAAGTTCTGACATGCTTAACTGCTTACATTGGCATAATTTTGATATTTGCACAGTGGCCAGTTTTGTGCAACTTTCCTGCATGACAATTAATTTATTTAATGATAATTCAATGACAGCAGGTGCCTGTAAGAACTCAATAACACAGAATCTCACTTTTAAGAACATGTACTTGCTTTTTAACTGTTGACTTTAAGCTTAAACATGGTTACTATGACTTGAAAGCATGTTTTTTATCTACTCCCATTCAACACCTAAATTGGAAAAAATACAGCACTCTTAAAGATGAAAAGGTTTAAAGAACATTTCAATCTGCATGTATAGTAACTTAGTAAAGAAAATTATTAATACTGGATTAAATATAATTTTATACTTTTACCTTTGATAAACTGTTATGACAATTGGTATAAACATTCCAAAGAAGGCCCCAATAGCATACAACACGTCATCTCCTATACCCTCTATCCACATATTTCTACCCATCTTCCCAATGCAGGTAAACGCTGTAAAGAATTGTAAACGCTGTAAAGAATAGACAACTTATCATTCTAGCTGATACTATAATTTACCTTAACCATGCTACATACAAATTGTATAATCTGGAAACAAAGTGATCTCTCGGAAGCATTATTCACAACAAAATTACAAGAGAATTGCAGACTCGGTTTGATTGAGTCTGTACATGAGGGATAATGAATATATGCAACATCCCTCACGCCCTCTAGCACCGGCTTGAGCGGTACTCAATTCTCAAGTCCCGAAGGACCAGAAAATATAACAAAATTCTGGAAACAAAGTGATCCCTCGGAAGCATTAATCACAACAAAATAACATAAGAATTGCAGGCTCGGTTTGATTGAGTCTGTACATGAGTGATAATGAATATGTGCAACATCCCTCACGCCCCCTAGCACCGGCTTGAGCGGTACTCAATTCTCAACACTTAATAGTGCTGGCATCAATGTTCCCGAAGGACCAGAAAAATATAACAACACTGAAGTGAAGTACGGGGCAACTTTTTACAGCTGCCACACAGCACTTGACACCCACTGTTGTGAAGTATAAAAATCTGGAAACAAAGTGATCCCTCGGAAGCATTAATCACAACAAAATTATAAGAGAATTCCAGACTTGGTTTGATTGAGTCTGTACATGAGGGATAAGTCTTTTCCACCAGTATAAAGCCATGTCAGCCTGTACATTGATATATTCTTACCAGGCACTAAAATGTTGACTGACACTTGACATCTTGATATCAGGTGTTGAAACAATTTTACAGAGCAACAGATAAGGTGTGTATTTGCGTCTTTATGCAATTAATTTTACAAAATACGCAAATTGTTTTTTATATATGTGTATCAAAACCCATTTTAAAAAAAATAAGATACGCAATTGACTTAAAGATCCATGTGTATTGTCATTTTTGTCACGCAAAATTAACCTGTCGTCCACTCGTAGTTTTGGACAATAGTTATATGCATGCTATCCGAATATTCCGAAATGTAATTTAGGGCTGACTAATCAACAGTCTCCGGTCTTCGATGGTCCCCTATATCAAAAGACTGCCGAAGTCAAATCAATTAAGCACGAGACAGTCAATTTATATAATACTCTACTCAGATTGACAGTCTTTACAGACCAGCAGAGACAGTTGTTTTTGCAGAGACCATCGATAAGTAGGTCCCATGCAAATAACTTGTATCAATAGATGCTCTGAAAGCAATATGCTGTTGTACATACATTATAGGGAACAAAAGAAGATTTGAAACATAACAATTCTAAATAATTAAAAATCCACCTGAAAAACGAAGTTGTTTAAATATTCCGAACGATGTTTGATGTGAGATATTATGGAATGTAGACAAAAAACTGGCACATTGGCACATTCGGGCAATTGCGTAAATAATAATAATAAAAAAAACATAATTAACCATGAAATTCATATCTTCATATTTGAATACCCAATCAATCTTAAAATCATAGTGTCACAGGTTTTAGAATACCCAATTATTAGAGCCAATACCCAATTCCACATGAAATGATGGAGTAATACCCAATTTACTTTCAAAGCTTATCTGTTGCTCTGATTATAAGCTTTAAATTAATATATAGGAGAATATTATAATATTATTTTTGTTGTAAGTTAGAACTAGTTGTGATTGTTTGTGTTTACAGATATTATGAACTTGTTACATTAACTAATGTGTATTTATTTATTGTTTGCTTTAAAGAAAAATAAAGATGATGACAGGAACATGTATATCAAATTTTATTTTATGATTATTAAACTTTTTAAAGACATTATCTTGTGTTTTCTTTCTTCGTTTATTTTAATAGTCATCTTGATTATTATTTAATTTTTGATTGTTAAAGAAAAAGTAAAAAACAGAGCTAAATTAATCATGATAACCTAAAATTGGCCAGAGACGGATCTACTTAAATTTGGGGTCAGGCTTACTACCACCAAATTGGTAAAGAGTTATCAATTTTAATATTGACAACCCAACTGTTAAAATGATCAATTGCTGTTTTTCAGATAACATGATATTTCACAAATATTTTAAAACAAACATTAAATCTCATTATTTCTTGATTTTTATAATTAAACGGATGTTTCAATGATCATTTTATGGTCTGAATCATAAGTCGGGCCATTCATTATCAATTTGAGCTATCTATCCCAGAGTACTGCTAACCCCTGTGATGAATGTTATAGGCAGGAATACTGCATGTAGGACTCAGATGTGTTAGTAAATGGTGTGAGAGAAAGTAAAAACCTGAAAATGAACATTATTTTGATTTTTGTTGCGCAGACATGTCTATGCGAGGAGTTTGACATTAACAGAAGATAGATAGATTATCTGGACAGCGAGTCACCATTCTATAAAAAAATCAAACAAACAAAAATTTAATTAACTAGATTTCGAGTGGTCGAAACTGAAAGTATACAACGATTTAAATTTGTTGTAACAGAAAATTAAGGGAAATATAAATTTCAACGTACTTAGTTGATAAAATTGTTTCCTATAAAGTACTGTCAATGCTTCAATGAATTACTTTAACTGAAAAAAAAAAACTTCTTTATTTTGACGCATCACTTGTCCCTGAAACGCTTGTAATTTCTGAGCGTTTGATAATTGAGACTAAAGTATTACTTCTTGCCGTCCCAATTACCGTTCCATATCGTAGCGTTTTCGAATTTTCCAAGGTTAAAGCCCACTAAATATCAATTGTTCCACAAAACTCAAACGCTGGCAACCGATATATGCTTCAGTTAAAGTTCAGCGGATATTCATGTAGAATGGTCGCATCTAACAGGTTGCTGTTGATTGTAAAAACTCTGACAACCTACCTGTACTATCTGGTGTCCCTCAAGGCTCGATCTTGGGACCTTGCCTTTTCTTATCTTATATTGATGATCTTGCTGACATTGTTAAACGTATTTGCAGACGTCACAATAGTATATCTTACAGTTAATTCAACCCAAGATGCCCAAACCCTCTAAAAGATCCAAACAGTCTTGAAAACTGGGAATCTGATTGGTCCATTGAATTAAATACTGATAAATGCGAAAACCTGAATATCAGCCGCAAGGAATATTCCAAAACACATGGTCAACAACTAAAATCCACTGAGGCTGCAAAATATTTAGGTGTAACAATAAGTAAAGGTCTACCTTGGACCAATTATATATATTAGATAACAGCAAAAGCATATAACTTACTCATATTTCTAAAAAAGAAATGTCAAAACTTCAAACAAAAAGGTCAAAGAAACTGCCTATAAAACTTATATATAGTTTGGAATCCTTGGCAAAAATATCTGGTTTACAAATTAGAACAAGTTCAAAGGTCAGCTGCCAGATACGTATATAATGACTAAAATTACACCAGTTGTGTATCTAAAATGTTAAATAATCTTATTTGGCAAAATCTAGAGCAGAGGTGAAACATCAGCTCTGTTACCCTTCTCTACAAAATCTAACACAATCTTGTGAGGGTCGACCATCACCACCTGACACCCACTAGAAATCTGAACTACTACCATACTCAAGAACACAACATCACACCTATTCATTTTCCCCTAGAAGTATTTGTATGTGAAATGGCCTATCCGTGTCCTTACAAGCTATTATCAGTCTAGATCTCTTTACTGGGCAGCTGCACCCTTCCTTCCAGTTTTAAGTCAATTTTGTTTTTATCTTTTTATCTCAGTCTTGTAGTTTTCTTTTAACTTGCTTTTATCTTAATGTGTTTCATTTCCACTTTTCCTTTGCTATACTTTGACTGAGAATACAACTTGACACAATTATTTATGTACTTTACAGAACTTGAACAAAGAGAAGCTTTAGTAGAATTTTGCTTATACATGATATTGACATGTATATCAACACCCTTCAGAAAACGAATTTACATTAGAATTTAAGAATGAACTTGCCTTAAGTGATTTACGATAGAAAACTTAACAAACATAAACAAAGAAAATATCCAAAACATTTTTATATAAATGTGCTGTTTATAAATAATTTAAATAAACTAAGATAATATACGTTTTTATTTAAAGTTACAGTTTCGTTCTTGTGAGATAATGTCAGATAAAAACTGTTCTTTTAAACCTTTTACCTCTCGTTTTTGTTGTTTATATTTCATTTGAAGAAATCTAAGCAACTAAAACCAAAATTAAACAGGAAATATCTAGTAATTTATTGACATTATTTGTATTATTTAGTACTTTGCAGCCGTTACTGTTAGTAATCTTGAAATAGAAATAAAGCTACACTAGGTAAAGTATTTACAATGAGTTTGATGTAAGCCATTCTCGAGTACTTTTATTGAATTAATAATTTCTGTAAACGTTCAATAACTTTGATGATGCACACGTAAAATTGCAGTCGAATTTGTTAGGGAACGTTACACACTGTTTTCTTAATGATTCGCGTGCATTAGCTAACACACTTTAGCTCAAAGTTTCTTGAATTTATATGTCCATGAGAGTATGTATGATTGTGCAGTTCTAGTTTTTTAATTTTCTTAGTAGACCTTTATATTATATAAATGAAATTCTTAATTATAGATGATGGACCAATTCTGATTTTTAAACTTGTTGTCAGTTGTTGACAACATTTGCTTATGGAGAGCATGTTTTGGATGGACATATAAGCAATGTTACGTGACTTTGGAATGTGCGTGCGCGCGCGGACGCACGCACACACACATCTGTAGGGATTACTAAATTTATAGAACATGTTATGTACAAAATGTCTTCCCAGATTTAACCCAATATTTTGTTAAAGTAAAATGTTTTTTAAAGATCCTGTAACTCAATATTTTTTTATGGTTTTATATCATAAATATAGTGCTCAAATGAAGATTTATCAATAATGTAAGTTCCAAAAAGCATTATTTGTAAGGATATTACCAAATTTACATTTCATGTTAATAAAGGGAGGTAATTAGAAATTCATTTTCTATAAAGTCAAAGTCAATTTTTTCAATAAGAAATGTATGCATTTATTTTAATGATTACATATAATTTGGACAAATATTTGCAGTACATATTTTACATATTCTTCGATATTCGAAAATTGTTTTTTAAATTATATATATATATATATATATATATATATATATATATATATATTATATATATATATATATATATATATATATATATATATATATATATATATATATATATACAAAAAATGAAAACAAGTGCCGGAAAAAAGTCACATATAAATAAAACAAAAAACAGTCCATGAGTTAACTTATTTAATTATTTGCCAACCGGTTTCTCTTATGATCATCAGGGCAAATGTGACGTCGTCGCATAGTAACGACGACGTTTTTGTGTACACATGTGTACGCATAATCTAAAAATAGTAACGTCATTATATAGTATTAAGTTTTGGATTAAAAACATCAATAAAATAGCGTTCTTTAGATAACCTAGCTGAAACGTTTTTACTGTGAAATTTATAAAATGGGAAAATACAAAATTTCGGGTCTTTTTTAGAGCATTTATCTAAATGCTCACTTAAAGGTAATTGTCTGGTTGATGGGTCTCTTATCTGCTGAGCATGAACAGTTTTTCTGTTTCTGAGTTTGTCACCTGTTTGGCCTATGTAAAATTCTTTGCAGCCGTTGCAAACTAAAACATATAAAACATTTTCAACAGTACAGTCCATATTTTCTTTTGTATGAAATATTTTATTCTGAAGTTTTAAAGAATATCCTTCTATTAAATAATCACAGAGGCCACACCTCTGTTCGTTGCATTTTTTAACACAGGGCATTATATTGTTTTCTTTAAATTCTGAACTTATTAAAATGCTTTTTAAATTTGGTAATTGTCTTTTGCATTTTATTATGTTGGTGTTGCTTATTATCTTTTTCATTTTTTCATCATGTTTCAGAATTTCCATGTTTGTTTTAATTATGCCAAACAATTCTCTGTTTTTCGGGTTACATGTTGAAATATATGGAAGAATTTTGTTTTTTGGTTGCTCCTTAACTTGAAGTAAGGTGGTTCGGGGAATCTTAATAATATATAATCTTTCAAATAGAAAACTTTCAGAATATGAAAAAAGTGTATTGTTGATGGGTCTAAAATTTACACCAACACCAGAAAAAAATAATCCTAGAGAACTTAATAATGATATTTCAGAATTTTTTCGTAAAATACGATTGCTTGAATATTTTGATGAAACTGAGAATAAAGATGTTTCTTTGGCCAGGAATAAAACATATTTCAATCCACCTAGTGGTCGTAATGGAAAATTAGATACATATATATCAACAACTAACACTTGGTGTTCAAGTGTTTTAAATGAAGAAAAAAACATTAAACATAACATTACTTTAAACCAGCGTAAAGCTCTTAAATCACTTGCAGAAGATAACACAATAATTATTAAAGAAGCAGATATGGGTGGTGGTATTGTAATTATGAATGTAGACTTTTATAAAAGAAAAATTCTAGAAATGTTAAAAGAAGAATCTTACTACAAATCTATAACTGATTTTAATAAAAAGGGAACTTTTTTAAAAATAAAAAGAGTTAATCAGCAAAAATACCAAATTAACAACAAATGAGATTGACTTTCTGTTAAATTTTGAAACAAAACCAAGTACATTTTACGGACTTCCGAAAATTCATAAAAGTAAGATTATTCCAGAAATATGCAAATCAAAAGCCTCTGAATATATTGAAATACTTAATCCGGAAGACTTAACATTTAGACCTATAGTTGCTGGTCCTCAATGTGAAACTAGCCATTTAAGTTCATTTCTAGATAATTTATTAAAACCTTTTGTGGAAAAGTTAAAAGTTACTTGAGAGATGATATTGATTTTCTGAATAACATACCAAAGAAAGTTGAAGAAAGTACAAACTTATTTCATTTGACATAGTTAGTTTGTACACAAATATACCCCATAAACTAGGTTTAGAAGCCATTTCATTTTGGTTAAATAAGTACCCAGAATTAATTACACATCGTTTTGATAAGAGCTTTATATTAAATGGCCTTGAAATAATTTTACAAAATAATATTTTTTCATTTAATAATCAATATTATAGTCAGGTAAAAGGTACAGCCATGGGGACAAAGGTTGCTCCAACATATGCAACACTTGTACTAGGTTATTTAGAAGAAACATTGTATTCAGAAATTAACAAACAGAAAGGTGAAGATTTTGCTAATTATATTCAATGTAACTGGAAAAGATTTTTGGATGATTGTTTTATATTTTGGCAAAGATCTCTAATTGATTTATTATATTTTGCAAAAATACTTAATTCACTTCATAAAGATATACAATTTAAGAAACAACAAAGTACAGACAGACTTCCGTTTTTAGATGTAATGGTTATTAAGAAAGGAACATATATAGTCACTGATGTATATTTTAAAAGTACTGATTCTAAACAATATCTAAATTTTAAATCGTGTCATCCTAAACACATTAAAACAAATATCCCGTTTTCGCTAGCAAGGAGAATATGTGCAATTGTATCTGATAAGGAAATACTTAAGATTAGACTTAAGGAACTCGCCATCACTCTAATTAAAAGAAAATTTCCAATTCAACTTATAAAAACTGGTATTAAAAAAGCTTTTGGAGATTCCCCGAACCACCTTACTTCAAGTTAAGGAGCAACCAAAAAACAAAATTCTTCCATATATTTCAACATGTAACCCGAAAAACAGAGAATTGTTTGGCATAATTAAAACAAACATGGAAATTCTGAAACATGATGAAAAAATGAAAAAGATAATAAGCAACACCAACATAATAAAATGCAAAAGACAATTACCAAATTTAAAAAGCATTTTAATAAGTTCAGAATTTAAAGAAAAACAATATAATGCCCTGTGTTAAAAAATGCAACGAACAGAGGTGTGGCCTCTGTGATTATTTAATAGAAGGATATTCTTTAAAACTTCAGAATAAAATATTTCATACAAAAGAAAATATGGACTGTACTGTTGAAAATGTTTTATATGTTTTAGTTTGCAACGGCTGCAAAGAATTTTACATAGGCCAAACAGGTGACAAACTCAGAAACAGAAAAACTGTTCATGCTCAGCAGATAAGAGACCCATCAACCAGACAATTACCTTTAAGTGAGCATTTAGATAAATGCTCTAAAAAAGACCCGAAATTTTGTATTTTCCCATTTTATAAATTTCACAGTAAAAACGTTTCAGCTAGGTTATCTAAAGAACGCTATTTTATTGATGTTTTTAATCCAAAACTTAATACTATATAATGACGTTACTATTTTTAGATTATGCGTACACATGTGTACACAAAAACGTCGTCGTTACTATGCGACGACGTCACATTTGCCCTGATGATCATAAGAGAAACCGGTTGGCAAATAATTAAATAAGTTAACTCATGGACTGTGTTTTTTGTTTTATTTATATATATATATATATATATATATATATATATATATATATATATATATATATATATATATATATATATATATATATATATATATATATATATATAAAATTTCACTTCAGTGTGGTAACAAACTTGATTAAAACATACAGGTTTATCAAGGACATATATCGAAATAGATCTAATAAATTGTATATCTGTCTCGGATATATGGGGTTTAAACATACGACATGTGGACAAATGTTATATTATAATTTCATCATTATGTATCATTTCATATTGATGCCAGCACTATAAAGTGTTGAGAATTGAGTACCGCTCAAGCCGGTGCTAGGGGGCGTGAGGGATGTTTAAAAAGCGTTTCATACTGTTTTGGTGACACTTTTGCTTGTGTCCCTTGTTGTTTTCTCGTCTACGGTAAGTATCTTCCCCATTGCCTCTAGTTTTTATTTCTTTGATTAACCCCCCCCCTTCCCCCGGTCTCCTGTCCCCTTCCCCTTTGTGGGCCTATTATTCTTTTCTTTGAATTCCTAATCGGTTGCAGATTATTTATCATTTAATGATTAACCTGTCCGTGCTCTGTCTTTGCCCTGTCCTGTTTTTGTTTGTGGTCCGCCTGGGCTCCTTGCCATTGGTTTCTTGTTGCTGGGTCATATGGGGGTTGCGTTCATTGAACGCCGCCTTTCCTTGTTGATCTTGTTTATCATATTTTGCACTTATTCATTATCACTCATGTACAGACTCAATCAAACCGAGTCTGCAATTCTTATGTTATTTTGTTGTGATTAATGCTTCCGAGGGATCACTTTGTTTCCAGAATTTTGTACTCCACAACAGCATGTGTCAAGTGCCGTTATGCAGCCGTAAAAAGTTGCCCCGTACTTCACTTCAGTGTTGTTATATTTTCTGGTCCTTCGGGATCATTGATGCCAGCACTATAAAGTGTTGAGAATTGAGTACCGCACAAGACGGTGCTAGGGGGCGTGAGGGATGTTGCACTTATTCATTATCCCTCATGTACAGACTCACTCAAACCGAGTCTGCAATTCTTATGTTATTTTGTTGTGATTAATGCTTCCGAGGGATCACTTTGTTTCCAGAATATTAATGATCCCGAAGGACCAGAAAATATAACAACACTGAAGTGAAGTACGGGCGCAACTTTTTACGGCTGCCACACGGCACTTGACACCTGCTGTTGTGAAGTACAAAATTCTTGGAAACAAAGTGATCCCTCGGAAGCATTAATCACAACAAAATAACATAAGAATAGCAGACTCGGTTTGATTGAGTCTGTACATGAGGGATAATGAATAAGTGCAACATCCTTCACGCCCTAGCACCGGCTTGAGCGGTACTTCAATTCTCAACACTTTATAGTGTTGGCATTTATTGATTTAAACCATTTATTGATTTAAACATATTTTATTGCCAAAAAAGTCATATACATTGTACATACCTGTAAAAAAATTCTGGAACAAAGTGATCCTTCGGAAGCATTAATCAACAACAAAAATAACATAAGAATTGCAGACTCGGTTTGAGTGAGTCTGTACATGAGGATAATGAATAAGTGCAAACATCCCTCACGCCCCTAGCACCGGGCTTGAGAGCGGTACTCAATTCTCAACACTTTATAGTGTTGGCATCAATGATCCCAGAAGGACCAGAAAAAATATAACAACACTGAAGTGAAGTACGGGGCAACTTTTTACGGCTGCCCACACGACTTGACACCTGCTGTTGTGAAGTACAAAAATTCTGGAACAAAGTGATCCTTCGGAAGCCATTAATCACAACAAATAACATAAGAATTGCAGACTCGGTTTGATTGAGTCTGTACATGAGGGATAATGAATAAGATGCAACATCCCTCACGCCCCTAGCACCGTCTCAATTACAATGACATTACATATTTGCACAGGAACTTGAAATTCTATCAAATAACCAATATTAATTATAATATCCAAATATACCCCCTATATACTATATAAAAATTTTTATAGTATATAGGGGGTATATTTTGCATATTATCGTTAATAGTGATAGAATTTCAAGTTCCTGTGATATTTGGCAAAATGGTTGACCCGCAAGTTCTCTCAACATTAGCATCGGGTCTTTCCTGATGCAATAAATTACAATAACATATTTTACAAGAATGACTATCAGTATATAGCCTTTTATTAAACCATAAGCAAAGAAGAAATTAACTGACCTTATGAATAATTGGCATCGGCTGAGCTTGTTTTCTAAGTACTATGAGACACAAGGACACAAACAACAACAGTTTGTTTCAATCAGAAGCACCTATAATTTGACAGACATAGACGTACCATGCGTCGGTAATTTTTAATAATATGACGTCATAAAAAATAGTGTTTCAATCTCTTTTCTATGTTTTGGTTAAAAACTAGAGTCTAAAAACGCTCTAACTATATTTAACTTTTTTTCTACAAACACGAGCAATTAGAAACTGGTGATTGTTTTAAACGGACTAAATGATTTTTTCTTCAGAAATCTATCTACCTTTTCTGTAGTCCAACTAATTAGACTTGTCAAAGAGACACCGAGATAATTTTGGACGGGCGCTGTCTTTTTCCAACGGTTTGACAGTAAGAAAAAAAATTCTGTAAAATGGGTCAAACCGTTCACGCCAAATTAATTAGGCTACCTTTTCTGTTAAGTCACTTGCGAGGACGTATACTACTGTATGCAGTAAACGTTGTTCTTTTTTAATGAGCTTACTTTTAAATAAAGAATATTTTGGCTGAAATGTTCGTGTATGCCAAAAATAGGTTAACATAGTGAAATAAAAGTTAGACACATAGAAATGTGACGTTATCGTGAGCTAATGAGAACGCGCCGGTGCTAGGGGGCGTGGACGGTAGATATCAACATCCAAACCGAGTGGGCAACATTTTCAATTTTGTCGTTTTGAGAGTACTTACTCTGATACTGGGGATAATGAAACAAATCTTAAATGATTCTCTTTGTCACTAATCTGATCGATAATGACAAATAATAAGTTTTTGTTGATTGGCAAATAAGTTTGCGTTTGTTAATAACCTAACTTTTTTACCGACCCTCATGAGTAATTTACACAACTTGTTAAAATTTATAACGCACACACCGGAAGTGTATTAGCAACACAAGACAAGAGACGAGAAAGTCGAAAGTTGGATGAAAGTTGTGAATCATTTCAGTCTGTGTTTGGGACAGGACTGTTAATTTTTGTAGCAAATAGTGAATTTATATGCTCTTTTTTTCTAAATTATAACATTTATTTGGTTTTTAGATAAATAAATATGTGACGACATGGAGAAATATTTTAATTTTAAAAACAAATCGAAGCAAAATAGTGTTTACTTTTGCCGAGCATTTGACAGGGTTGATATAAATTGGAAATGATTTTTCTGTTGTGTAAAAAGATACAGTAGAAGATGTTGGTATATTTGAAGAAATGTGGTTACAGACGCATGTCACATGTCACAAATATGAAATATTGCACGGATAATTTAAGTAAACATGCTATGGTTTAAGGGTTTAATTTGAAATGGCAAGTTCTAAGAAATCCCTAACAGATAAATTTACCATGGAGTCAAAACAAAAATCTCCTGGGAAAAAATCGAAGAAAGGGTCAAAAATTTCAAAGTCACTATCAAGGGAACTGTCTGGTTCATCATCTCCAGTAAGTGGAAAGAGGAAAGCTCAGAAATCTTCTAGTGATTCTTTAGTAGTAAGCAAATCTAAGGAAGAGTATTCAAGTGGTGTACTTGACACAGGTGCTTCAGTTGAAGGCTCTGCAGTGCAAGACAAAGGTCATGAATTAGCTGCATCCAGAGATAAAACTCCTGAGCCAATGGATATAGATACAGAAAAGCATGTACATATTGAGAAGTTGGATACATCATTAGAAGCCAAGTGGATCAAACCAGATGATGATGCTGTATTTTTTGCAACACCTGAGACCCCTAAAGCATCATCACAGATTTCTAATACTACAACATCAATCAAGCCACCAATGTTGAGATCATCTTCTGAATCTCTATCAAGTAAAGTAAATAATCCAAGAAGTGGAGATGGTTATTCACCATCAAACAGAAGGAAGCATTCAGCATCTGCAGTTGAAGCTTTGAAAAAGTCTGTATCTCTTGTATCTTCCAATTACAGTACAGACTCCCTGGCAAGTGAAATGGAGTCCTACAAACTTGGAGGCTCAAGAAGCTCAAGTGCTAGTGACATTGACACACTACGACACTCTGACAACAATAGCTGTGAAGAAATTAACATCGGGGAATGTAGTTCAACAAGCACTCCTATAAAGTTTGGTTTGTTTGATGAGCATAAGGATACTCCTGCAACAGTTGTGAGAAAACCTCCAAAATTTAGTCTTATCAGAGAAGCTGCTTCAGAAGACTTTGACAGCTTATCCCTGTCATCAGACTACTCTCCAACTGCAACTACAACAAGTTTAAAAAGTTTTGATGGACGAAATCGCATTGATGATTTTAGTGATGAGAGTGATTCGTCTAGGATGAAAGAGAGTTCAGAGTTTAGTGATGACCCAGATTACCATAGTCATGTCCACTTTGTACCACTCAACAAGCAGCTTCAAATTGTTACTTCTATGGATAGACTAATGGACAGGTAACTATCTTTCATTTAGTTTAAAGGTGGTGTTTCTGTTTTTGTCACCTTATTGAAGAGAATTTCCCATAATTTTTGTTGCTGCCAGTAGTTTTAAAACAAAGCATTTCCTTGGAAAAAATAAGTCTTAATTTAAATGCCCATCAGTATGTCATACTCTGTGAGGTAGTTACACATTTATTAGGTGCTTCTTTTGTTTAAAAGTACCCATTAAGGCCATAAGAGTGCCAAACAATTTGTAAAGAATGAATAAAATTTATTGTTGTCTGTTGGTCTCACTACCCAACAAATGTCCTCTCCTTTCCTTTTTGGGATATGCCAACAATTGAGGTTCATTGGCTTTTTCTTTGATCTTAATTTCTTATAGTGGCATTTTTCCATGTGAAATGAACCAGGGAAAATGTCACTTAAATCCACAGTTCGTGTGGTTTCCTTCTTTTTCCAACTAATATTATGGACAGAATGAGCAGCATATACCATTGGATGTTAGCCCGTTCTTTTTTCAATCATACCTTGTTCAAAGAATAATTTGAAAAGTATTAAAAATATGATTAAAAGTTCACATGTTGGCTAAGAGTAAGACCAGTAAAGAAAGCTCAGTGTCCAAGAACCATAAACCTGCCTTGCTAACTTTTTGTGAATTATTTTCCTAAAAAAAATGCTTGTCCTGAGAATAAGTTATATATATTATATTCTTAAACTATCAATCATTGAAACATCTGTTTAGTTACAGCACACAGTTACATACACTAGTTGCTTTAATTTCATGAGGCAACCAAAAACAAAATTATGTCAAACTGCAGCAAATACAAATGTACTGTGAAACGCCACAGAGCACCAGTCTGTGACTACCGCAGACAAAATTATTAAAGGCTACCTGATGTAATGATAGTCATGATTGATAGCAAAATTATGGTGTAGTATATATATTGTTTATTTGGGTTTTTAGAAATGGTGGTATTTTTTAAGCCAAGTAAGAAAAATTTTAGACACTAATCATTTTTTTTATTTTTAAACTTTGGGATGAAAGCTTTGGAGAAATTACTGCTCATGTGTGCCACTTGTTGTTCTTGTAGACATTTTTCTGTTTATACCAGTAACAATAGAATTACTTCCATTTGTCAGTTTTTCAGGTATTTTCTTTTTGAAAGCATTTGAAAATAAACATTTCACATTGTTAAGACAGAAACTTTGCCCCTTACCACTGCTTTCAAGCCTCAAGAATGAAAAAAATTATGTTTTATTGTGTACAAATGTTATCCAGATTGCTTACAAAACAATGAAAAATTGGCACAAAGGTCTTTTTTTCATCACTATAGCCAGAAAGTCTAGGTGTATTAACTTTGAAAATAGTGTTAAAATTGACTTGTTTTATCATAAATATTTTGTCAGTTACCTTAGCTGAACTAGATCTGCTGAAGAGATAGCTTGTGATTGAGAATTGATTTTTTAAAAGCTTCACCCTGTCAATTTAATTTAATGGCTTGTTGAATGACTGCATCCACTATATGTGACGAGGAAGTAAATAGCATATATGCTTTAATGTAGTAATACAGCTAGTGAAAACTTATTTATATGAAATAAGATTTCTTAAAAGTGACATTTGTGGCTGAAAGATTAAGTAGTACTATAATCTATATACTGAAAAAGGTTTTCTAGATATAAAGTTGTAGCATTAACATCTGTATAAAGTTTAAAATTTGAGATTGGTTTGAATTGTATATTTAATTGCATTTATTACTTAAAAAACGTGACTTTTCAACTAATTAAAAAATTTTGAACAGTATATAAAGCTATTTTCTTATGCATGAATGGTGAGTTTAAAGTTGCTGAATCTGTACACAGTTTGTAGGTTTGTCAAGTTATGTATCATCACATGTGTCTCCTTAACCATGTCAAATAAACCTTAAAGGCTGTCTCTTTTGATTGAGTAGTTTACATATTTGTATCTGAAAGATATAATTTAAATTGTAAGAACTGTTGGGGTTATACATCTTTTAGGTCCGGTGTTTTCTTTAGCGTCAGCAAAATATTGTTTGTGCTTATCAAGCAAGAATATCCCATTATTGTAGAGAAATGTGACTCAGTATTTTAGGTCAATGTGACTTTGCTTTAAGAAAGACTTGGAGATACCTCTTATGTTGAGGGCGGAATACTGCTTAAGCTGGTGCTAGCAGTGACTGTGTGAGAGATTTTGCACTTTCTCTCACTATCTCTCATGAACAGACTCTATAAAACAAAGTTGTGGTTTTCATCTGTTCGATTTTGTTTTGAGGGATCTTCTTTTTCTATATGCAGTTGAGTTCATATAAGAAAATGGGTTATTCCAAGATATATGGGGGGTGAAGTTAGTATTGCTGGCCTTGTGGAATAACCCACTATCAATGTATATGTATGTAGATTTGGTAGCTAAATAATAATGGTTGTGTTGTTAAAGGCTATTGTTTAGCTGGTTTTAATATGCCAGTGAAGTAAGGAGCTTGCAAAACACTGGTGTAAAAGTCATTACCCTAACTTATACAGAAGGCCAGCATTAAGACAACCCCCAAATATCTTTTTTCATGGAAGTTTTTTATGTGAAAGTACATCATCATATAGAATATCATGTTTCAGTACATTTATCACTTTAAAATCATACCTGATTTAGTGAAATGATTCTGCATTAAGATATATGTATATAATGATAAATTACAGTAGAAGTCCCAGAAGACGCTCGCACTCACCACCCAAGTCCAATGATCAGGGTTTACACCATCATCTGCCAGCAAGATTACAGTTTGTAGACTTTATGAGATCCAATGGTCTGTCAACCTACCTGTACTACCTGCCCGCTGATATGACACTAGAAAAGTTCAGGTAAATATTTACATGTATTCATAATTTTCAAATGTTTATTCTTTTCTATAGATCAGTTTGAATCATTTCAATATTGTTTTCTGGAACATCAGAAATACTTTGCAGGTTTTTATTTTGCAGAAGACTTTTGACGTATCATTTGTAGGTTTTTATTTTGCAAAAGACTTTTGACATATCATACTTCTTTACTCAGATTTGGATTTATATTCCAGGGTAAAGTTTTCAACAATTGCAGACTATGCTAAAAAAAACCAAAAACTGTATTATGATGACTAAAAATCTTTTTAAAACCGATGCCCAGCTTTTAACACAATCGAAATAATAGGCCAGAATATACCTTATAATGCCCTGTTTATCACATAATTGAAGTTAGTTTTGAGAAAATGTCTAAAAAGAATCTGAAAATTGAAATCATCAATTATTTTGTGAACAGTACATGATCATTTGGCACTGAGCCCTTTAATCTTACATATAAAAAAGGTCTAAATAAAGCAAGTTGGCACCATTGACAGCTACATGTAATCCTCACAACTTGGACATAAATCAGTCTGTACTCTTTCATGTCAGAACTAAGATTAGACATTGAAATCACCAGGTCAAGTACTGTTTAGGTTTTGGTCAAGACTTTAGTGACATACTTCTTAATAATTATGGTACATGTGTATTGACTTGTTTTGATCATTATTGAATAAATTGAGTGAAGTAAACAAATTGATTTAGGTTAATTTTGTTCTAGGTGATTTTTAAAAGTTACTTCATTTTCGCCACAATTTCAAACATGGTTTAGTGTTTACAATGTTACATACTCCTCCATTGATTCTTATTTGATTTCTTGGGAGTCTCATATTCAACTAACATGTAGGTTATCTCATTTGAAACAGTCTGTTCAAGTTTGACTAAGTGGTGTTATGCTGAATGAATATTTTACTACGTAAATTATTTAAATTTACTACTGTCAGTGTCTGAATATGTTTTCATCTATGAGAAGTATACCTAAGTGATATTCCTACTTAATTGCTGTGCTTGTGAATAACTTATCTGTTATCATTTTGTGATACCGGTATATATTAACAGCCATAACCTGCTTGAGTCAATGGTAATTAGCATTTGCTATCGGTATTCAGTATAGAGCCAGGCCAGCCTGCACAACTATGCTGTCTGACCAGGCTTGATACTGTTGTATCATTCATAGCTCAAATTATGTATTTTGATAGACAGTTCCAAAGTCAAAGCAGGGCAAATCCATCAGAGTTACAAAAATAAATTGCCATTTAATGTTTCAATGCACATGATGGCATTTGAATTTTGGAGTAACTAAATCTAAGTTTTTTTTCATTTATAGAGTAAGCACATTTACAAAGTTAAATGTTCATTCATAGTTTCAGTCTCTGGTAAACAGTTACTTTAACCCTGCTGAATTTTGAGAAATCCTGCTTTAAATGAAAAATACTTTATTGCAAGTTTCAATACCAATATTTGTTTCTTTGGTTTTAATTCCAAATTAAGCATATTTTGGTCATATACCAGCTTTCCTGGATAACTAACCAGAATTACAGATTTTACCATAAGCAGCGGCTGACTACTAAACTCGCTATATTTCTGAATCAGCGGTGAGAAACAAATTACCATTACACTCAGTGTCGGAGGTCACTTGTCACTGAGAAACTTTGCCTTGTCCGACGATCGGAACAGCAACCTCTGGATTGCAAGTCTGATACTCTCATTGTTGAGCTAAGTGGTAGGATTGAATCGTCATCAAATAATATAGTTGGCAGCTAAAGATAGCATCATTTTATCAGTTATAATTTTTATAAGGTAAAAAATACCACATTTTCAATTATTTAATATTATGTGCAAGTTTGAAAACTTTATAGTCCTTTCCAAGTCTCTTAATTTACATTAAATATAAACATCATATTGAATGCATGAAGTGAAGAACTATTGTTAACTGCTGAGAAATTTGCATTTTATGTATTTTGATCCATCCAATTTGAATTCATTCTTTATTAAATGGGGGAATAAATGAGACAGAGTGTATAATCATTAAGTTTATGTAAAACATATCAGGATTCTTATTCAGAATAAACATTTTCTATTTTAAAGTGTGCAAGATCAATTTTATCCTTATTCAATAGCTTTTGGTGACAACCTGAGGAAGAAAATGGTTTTGAAGAGATTTTATTTTCATATAGAAAATCGGAGCTTTTAACCTTTATATGTTTTTGTTGTGTTTTCAAGCCTTCACTACTAGGGGTGGGTTGGAGGAGAGTATAGATTTGCCCTTGTGAAGCTATCATTCTGTGGAAGATTGACAAAACATTGGAATGTGTGGGCCTTTATGTCCTAGTATGGTTTTATCATGACATGGGATTTGTCCTGCTGTTAAACATTTTTGTTTTTAATGTCCTGTTGCATGTATGTCAACTTACTGGGCATTAACAGACAAAAGTATACTCAGGCCAGCCTGTACTTTCATGTTGTCGTACACCTCACTAAAAGCATTTGACTGTCCAGTTATTCTTTATAGACATGGAAATTCCTGTTATGATAATAGAGTGAATGGAAATGCACGTAATCAGACTCAAAACAGGAAGTGTCTATTACCAATATTAGTGTTATATAAAACTAAACACTTGTATAAGTATTCCGCAGTAGCTCAATCCTATTATTTCATCCTTTAGTGATCAATTTTGTTTATGAAAAACCTGTATGATAAGCAGTAACCCAAATAACATGTTGAAACTTGGTCACAATGTTTCAGTATTTGTATTTTAATATTAATAAGTAATAATTTTCATGAATAAGCTAATTAAGTATGCAGCTGTACCAGGCCTGTAATCTTATAATGATTTCTCATCCAATGAAAATTATTGGATGTTATTGTTATTATTGAAACACTTGAACAAGTTTTTTCCATCATGAAATATTGTTATATTGGCTGAATTTCACCATTCATGGTTGTATTAGCTACTGATCGGTATGTGTTATGATAAATTTGTCAATATTTGCATACATTGAAAGTTACGAGGGGTGTGTAGAAAGTTAGAAAAAGAAATGAAATAGTTGATTTCTATATTTTCTTTGCCATTTAAAGTAACTGCTTTAAGAAATGTGATCATTTATTTTATAGAAATTTCTGTTTTATTTTGATAAAATGCCTTTTTTTTTTGCAGAATTATTCTTAATGAACAAAAAACTTGGTTATTGCTACATTATACGAATATGGTTAAAACTGGTTTATGTTATCTTCTGTCTAATGATAGAAAGTATTTCAATTCTAAACTGATCATTAACGTTTGACTTAAACTTTCCATGTGTTGTTGTTCAAAACTTGAGTTAGGCATCTTTTACTGACAACTACAGAGATTCATTGTATCTTATGAAGAAAAGGTTTTAACTATTTACAGAATGGCCAGGTTAACTGATAAATGACTTGTATTTAGCAAATAAGTTGAAGTACAATATAAACTTTAGTTATAAATTATTTTAAATATTTAAAGTTTGTAAGCTGTAAGATAAACTTGAAGGTCATGTGAAATCCATAAGGTGCATTTTCTGTTCCAGCTATTACCCAATAAGTAATAGAAAGAGCATCGAAACATGAGGCTATCTGATAAATCAGATTGCCGAGTCTTTTGATGTTCTTTCTCTTTTGTATCATAGTCAAACATAAAAACACATTCCCTGTTGTCACAATATGAAACCCCAGAAAAAAAGTAACCAATGAACGAGCATCTGAATATATGATATTTCTGTGGCCGTCACAATAAGTAAACCCCAGCAAAAATGAGCCAATCAATGGGCATGCTCTTGAGTGAGGGTAACTAATACCTGCACTCCAGTTAACGCACTGTGCATGTATATGTATACGATTTAACTCTGACACATTCACAACAAAAAGATCCCCAGACTTTATGATACAATATATATATACATGTACAATATAATCTACTATATTAATGTATGCCAATATTTGATATATAAATTTTGAGGACACAGTAGCAAAATAATCTTTTTTCACTTTATAAAACAATGTACGATGTATATTGGGCTAATCTTAAACATGCTAAATTATACCATTTGTTCTACATAGGTTTGATGGCCTTAAGTCATCGTTATCAAGTTAAATTTGGCTTAGAAAAAAGACACAGTGTAACAAAGATTGTGACTGTGAAACTTAAATGAAGGTTCTAAATAGGTTCTACTAAATCTTCTAGCTTGTCATAATCTTTGTTATCATTATGTACAGGCTTCTCATTATAGTATTTTAATGTTTACATTGATATTTAGATCATGAATTAATTATTATTATTCATTGTCTTGATTATGCATGGCATAATAGCTGTCACAGTCTAGTTTTATTTCTGTGTAATATAGACATCTAAATACAAAAGTAAATCTTGTGCTATCAACTTTATACCATATCAAACTTGCTCTGTGTTACTTGTATCAGTACACCAAGACAACACAAGTCTCTGTCATCAGTTTTACCAAGAACACACATATCTTAAGGATATAATTTGATGCTAATCCCATTCTGATTAGTGATATAAAAGAAAACCAGTAAATAATGTTGAGGAAATGAAAGTCACCACAATGAGAGACTGCCAGGAGGATGTCCTTGCTAGGATAAGCAAGGCATCCAGGGCATTTGCAATGTCGAGGCCCATATGGAGATCTCAAGTCCTCAGCACCTAAACTATGGTCAGGATCTTCAACAGCAATAATTAGTCTCAGTGTCTTTCTCTATGATTCCGAGTGCTAAAGACCTCTGTTACCATTGAAAAAAAACTTATTCTTCAAAATAAAGGAACAATATACAGATCTGCTCTACATAAATATGGACATTAATCTTTTTAACAATATGCAGGTCTGGAAATGAAGCTTTCAATTAAATATAGTAATTTGCTCTACATTGCATGGATATGAAACATTTTAATAATATACAAATTTGTTCTACTCTACATTACATGGACATATTATTAGCTTTCAATAATAGA